AAAACAAGAGGCAACTAGTTCGTACCAGGACTTGGGCAAAAACCGGAGCTCTGGAATTCGCCATCCGTCTAGCGCTACTGCACGATTCTGCTTCATGGACATGATTTTCTTTTTAAGTTGGGCACCGGTAACCGGTTTTAGTTCACATGGTTGTGGCATCAAAAGTGAACGAGCAATATATTGGAAGACTTCCATATTGACATGAGAATCTTTGTTGAAAATTTTTTGCCAAGCTGCAGAAACAGCATCCAACATGTCGTTTAAGGAAGTGACAATTTCATTGTTTTCGTTTTTCACTGCAGATAAACAAGGGATAGGTTTGCTGTTGACCCAAGCAAATGCATTTGCACCATGTTTGTGGATGTCGAAACTGTCACGGAGTTTTTTCCGCCACTGCCGTAACCGAAGAGTCTTGACAGCATCTTGTTTTTCCTGGATTTTTGCTTCAATTACATTAATGAATGTGTCGCATGGGACGGTATGCCATGTGTAGGGGAAAACCAGCTTCAAGGAGGAGCAACTAAAACAAAGTTTTTTGAAGAGAGCAGAGGCTTCCGCTTCTGCGGCAGGAGAAAGGTTTTTATTACGAAAAAACACTTGTTTGATTTGCAACTCTCTTAGTTGACGAAGGAGCTTGTGCAACTTTGTTAGTGCACGGCATTGTGTCTGACCAGGGTTATTCTTACATGCGGCGGCGGCAATCACGTGTTGTTGCTTAAACTTTGGTTTGAGGGATCGCCCACCCTCTCCTGGATTTGAACTGAAGTCACGAAGGACACCTTCGCCGATTTTTGCCAAACATGACCAGGCTTGGTCCATATTTGCTGCTTTGAGAGCGTCGTTAAGACACTCAACATGTTTTTCCTTGTGTTTGGCAAAAGATGCTTCAACTGAAGATGGCAACACATTTAATTTTCGGTTTTTGCAACTCAAGTCAAGGAAAGGCTTTGGTGGCGCATGTACTCTGATGATTTCCAATGCTGGGTTTATAGCAATTTCGAATTGAAGGCCTAAGTGGCCTCGCACTGACAAATCTCTTCTGAGCTGAAAAGATCTACATAGGGCGAATGCGACAGGATTCATCAAAACGAAGTCCGGTCGCGTAATTCCTGGGCCAGAACTGGTCTTATCCCACTGGGTACTTGAGGAAAACGTTGGTTCAGGCGCATTATTGTTCATGGCACTTCCTACATCAATCCAACGACCGGTTGATAAACTTTGCGCCAAAACAAGACTAGATGAAATTGAAGTGTTTGCATCAAGGCATAAAATAACTGGCTGTTGTCCAAAAGCAGTGCAATGTTCAAATAGCTGGCTTAGCAACCTTTCATTCTGAGTATGTTTTGCATCATTTCTGCGATTGGCAATGCCGTAGAAGGAACATATGTGCAGAAATCTGCGCGAGAGTGCTCCTTTACTTGCTAACGGTATAGCAGCAGTACACCAACGTGTGCTTTCGGACAAGGCTCGAGCTGCAAAGGAGTCGGTACCAGTTTGCAGAAGAGACAAATTCTTTTTGGACAAAATTGCAACGCCACCGGCACTGGACTTTCCACTAGCCTTGCGGGCAGGCTGAGAAAATTTATTGCGAGTGGCTCCAGGTGGCCTGCCCCAAACAGCGTGCCAAGGTGTGTCTTGATTGGCAAGCAATTTGTCCTGTTGCTGCGTGCCTAATTCAGAAAGTCGTGTCTCCTGTACTGCAATAACATCAGCACCACAGTTAAGCAACCCATGCGAGTGAGGTTCCCAAGATGCAGTATTGATAGAGAGGATTACAATTGTATCTTTGTCTGGTGGATCGACAGAGTTGGTATCCTTACAGGATTTTGCATCAATTAAGACTTGGGAAGAGGCTTCGGCCTTACTTACAACTGGGTCGTTCCCAATGTTTTGGGACATAGAGAGACGAACGTTTCTGTGCAAGATAACATCGTAATGGTCGATACCATTGTAAGCCAACCGAATAACCGGCGAACCACTTAAACCAAAATTAAGAATACCATGCGTAGGTGTGTGAACGTGAATCTGCACATGGTACAGAGAAGTCAAGGCTGTCACACAAAGTTCATCGCCGTATGTGTCCTGCAACAACATATTGTTGCAATAGTTGCATTCATCTTCATATGAATGAAATCTGGCACGAAGATGCGGAGAAGTTCGGATGTGCTGTACACAAGCGGCACGGATTTCACTGTGTTGCAGTGACCGAGAAGTTTGTTCTTGGTAGGAACGACCGAAGGCACGAAAGAGACACGCGCCGTCACCAAGCACATTTTGAATGTACAATGAAGGGTCAAGTTGAGATAGCAAATCCTGTCTGGCTTGATGCCTGGCTTCTTGAGCTTTAGAATGTAATGCCAAGGACTCAGAGATAGCTTTATGCAGCTCAGCATCCTCATTGTCAAAAACACAAGAGCTATTGGGAGGAGCACCCCCTTTCAACCTCAGGTGACTATTCGAGTCCAACCGATTTGCTTTGACAGAAAGAAGGTGTAAATCCCGGCGGTTTTGCTTAGCACAAGCGCTTATTAATCAAATTGCTGTTTCGCCACTTCGTAGTTTTTGTTCACAATGTGACAACCGGAGCTCACACACGGGAGACTTTGCTGTCTTTGGCATCAGCAATGGCTTTCAATGGCGTATTTTGGATATCCGGTTGTCGTTTGCGTGCAGAAGATCGGTCTGGACGGCCAGACTGGCTGCTACCTGCCGCTCCCAGAGCAGTCAATGCCTGCATGACCTCATTGTGCTGGAGGCTCATCTGATTCTGAAATTGATCGAGTCGAATTTCCTGTGTGTTGACTCTTTGTGTCAACGCTGACAAGTCTTCTCTGATTTGCTGAAGTTCATTGGAACTGCTGGCTGCTGTTTCCTGGCGAGTCTGCAAAGGTTCCGGTTTGCTCTTACCTTTTCCTTTGCCCTTTCTTTGCTCTTGCTTGTCTCTGTAGGCTTGCCAATGATCGGGAATATCATAATCAGGCATGGGGCTGTGATATGTTTTGGAGAGAACTTGTTCACGACGTATGGCTTTGGCTCTCGCAGCCCTTTCCTCATTTTGCTGCTTGCGCTGAGCCGAGAGCTCTTGCTTATTCAGCATTTTGCGAATGACCAGCTTGAACTCGCCTTTACCTGTAATGAGCCGTTCAAGTGACGGTTCTTGGTCGGCCTTCACGATCCATACACTCATGTTGTACCTTTGGATATGCTTCAGAGGGATTACATCCCATGATTTCCACTTGCTGCCATCAGTTGTGCTATGTAACATGGCAACTACCGTGGCTGCTGAAATTCCAGGTGGGAAACCGCTGATTTCGTATGTGGAAGTGCCAAACACATTCTGGTTGGTTTCACAAATGCGAGGATTGGGTTTCTGAAGTACAGATCTAGCATGTCGAACACTTGTTTTGTTGATTCTGACACCAAGAGAATGACCATTACTGACAAATCCATGCGCTCCATCCAATGTATTGGCAACAAGGGCCAACGCTGGGAGAGTTTCGAATTTCGTCCACATGATAACTATCCCATCTTCAGGCTGTGGCTTCAAATTCTGTGAAATAAAGGGCCGAAAAAAGATCAAATTGTCTTTGCAGTTGTACAATTTTTTTGCTTGGCTATCTGCAACTCGAAGACACCCCCGAAAGGCTGGAGGGTCTGCTGTCACCACGACATTCCATGTTTCCAAGTTGGAGACCTCGATACCAAGTATTCCAGCAATCCTTTTCCTGAGCATGTCTCTGGAGTCTGACAACGTAGGTCTGATTGTACTGTGCCATTCATCTGGGCTCTGCCGTTGATATCCATGAAACCAAACTGAGAGCGAACTGTCATCCTGTACAGCTACTGTATCATCCAATTGGGCAAACTTCACTGGTGTAGTCCCCAAGTTGATAAGAACAACCTGCTTGACAAAGGTTCTGTTGGTAGCGGGGTCGCTCAAAGTCAATCTGCCTTGCACACAATTCGGGAGAAGTCCTGGTCTCGCTGATTGCAACATATTCTTCAAATCTACTCCGATGGTTCCGGGTACAATGAGACATAAGTAAGATCCACCAATGGCATCAAGTTTTGCTTTGAGGAAAGTACAGTTACAAAGTGAGATACCAGTTGCTCCGGTGCAGACCTGATCTGCGCGCAATTGAATCGCAACCGCGTTTGGAGGCAATTCTAACTCATCGATGTTTGCGACACTGAGGCCGGGAGCATGTGCAGAGGACTCCCATTTAGTGCGGCCCTGCGCACTTCCCACAGTAGCAGTGTTCCCATTGAGTGACTGCATATAGCGGTTTCTCGCCCTTCTACTGACAGTCCATGTGCGGCTGGGAACAAATATATGTGACTGTGCAAAAATAACAGCTCTTTGTCGCATGCATGGGTTGGTTTGCTGAGGCAAAGGCAAAAACAACGAAGAGGTCATCAAAACGCAAAGCAACACTTTGGTCATTTTGCATCTTTTGAATGTGATGCGGCGACGCTTCACTCGTCTTTGTCTTCCTACTGTCCGGCAAGTAAGAAGCTGAGCTCTGCGCAAACCCTTCACGAGGCTAAGCCATGCAAGGCTTACATTGATACATGTCCAAAAAAGAAATGGAAACGCGCAACTCCAAGCTCCCAAAGTGAAACTCATCATGGCCAAGAGGCTCTTAGGAAAACAGCGAACTCTGGACAGTCGCAAAAGCAAAGCAACCATGGCGCCAAAGAAGAAATCATTGAAAGTTGGAGTGAACGACTCCCCATATGTCACACAGCTCATGTAGCCCGGGCCCATAACAAAGGCCAAGCACAGCTCAATCATAAGTAAGAGGCAAAAACCAGAATTGCCGTTCATGGAGTGCATCATCTTGTTGAAGAACTTGTGGCTGATAGACCATTTGTACTGACTTTTGGCTGGAGAAATTTCTTTCAGGTCATTTCCCGCTACCTCCAGGTAGCCCCTCTCCAGATGGGCAAGGCGGCCATTCGCCAACTCTGCACTTAATTTCTTGGTCTTCTCCGCAGGATCAGATGCTGTCAACACCTTGAATCCAAAGTCTCCTGCTGCAGCTGGGGTTCCAGGAGACTGATCCTGAGAAACCTCGCAGAAAGCCATGTATGCCAAGATCTGTCCCCATCCTGCGGCGGGCACTTTGGAAATTGCTGCCAAACCATTTGGCACGTCGGCGAATTTCAAGCCGGCTGACGGCGAGAGATAACCAGGGAATTTCGTCGTCGAGGTCGCGGTGGAGGTAGCCATTGTCGGTGCACTGGAAAAATTGTAACCTGGTCGAGTTTGCCATGGCGCACCGATCACCCCTAAACCATTGTCCGGTTAGACCAACAATTGCTTCACCCATTGGAGGACATAGATGGTATCTGACGGGTTCCAAATGAAACTAGGGAGTGGTTAAAGGTAGTTAAGAATCTGAACAGTCCAATTGTCCAAATGCAGAGATGTATCTTCCGGTCACATGAAGTATGCATGTTGGCAGGTGAAGTCAACTAAGATGAGCACAGGAGAAACCCCACTTATGTCGGAGTCGCAAGGGCTGGGGGGAACCTCTTGCGACCCATGGCTGACCTAGTCACCGACCGGCCCTGCGGCCGGGGTTCCGTCCACCCTTCTTACCACCACCTTTCTTGCCTTGACCTTTCCCAGGCCCTTTACCTTTCGCCTTGCCCTTTCCTTTGCCCTTGGCCGCAGCGCCTTTACCTCCACCGTCTCCCCCTGCACCCTCTCCTTGCTGTGCCTGACGCCTTTCAGCGCGTTTACGCTTCTCGCCTTTGGTCTTCGCCCGCCACGCCTGAACCTGACCTCCATCTCCCGCCCGGTTCGCTTGGGCCAGCGCACCGTTCAGCGTGGCACTCAAATGCCGCTCCAACCGGTCCGCCACGGCTCCAAAACGAAACACCAGCGTGAAGCACTTGGGTTTCCTCACCTCCCAATTATCACCTCCCATCTCCGCCTCCACCTTCGTGAGGTTGCCCAGCCGGATTTCATCCTGGAAGGCAAAAAGGGCATCCATGACGTCCCTTTTCTTTTTACCGTGTAGCATCTCCTCCCGTCGCGGTTGGCGGTCACTCAGGGGCCATTCCAAACCCAAGGCCTTGGTTACCTCCTCCAGCCATTTATCCCCCCCACCCGCCGCAGCCGCGTGGGGCGTGGCCCCGTCACCCAGCCCTGTCCAAACCTCCTCGAGTGCCACACTATTTATCGTGAAGACCCGTTGCTGCGCATAGATCCGGTCCACACGTTCCTCCTGGCGATAACTACGCGCCGTCAACCACCCGACAGTGTTCTCCAGCTCTGCCACCCTTTGGCCAATAGGGGCCTCCTCCACTTCAGCCATGCCTGGGGGTCGTGGTGAAACCTGACAAAACACTACGATGACTGTGATCCGAAAAGCCGCCGCAGAAAAGCCTGATCAGAAGACTGGCATATAGCCGTCTGTACAGACATCCCGTTGGGAGTCTATGAGAAGTCATGAGACAGGCACATGGCCGTCCTGACTCTCAAGCACCTGACGCCTGACACCACCTTCCCTACCTCTGTGCCTTCCCCAATCCACATACAGATTTTGGACTTGACCCTTGTATGAATGGTTGAGACTGAGAGCGAAGTTAAACTCTACACTTCTTTGCATGGAATCGACAGGAATCATAGTTTGCATAGACCCTACCACATCGGTCACATGTTCTGTTAGCTAACTCAGAACCCTTACAACGTGCCACATGAGCAGGCAAGTTCCGCACGATTGTTTGTAGCCCGCACTTGTAGCACTGTCCCGGAGCCGCTTGATCTGGCCTCATTTGGAACACCACCGGGGGGGGAGGGGGTGCAGCTGCTTTAGCCGCCCTACGATCAGCTAGGCGTTTACAGTCAAACTCATGGACCCTGAGCAACCTCAAGTCTAAAATATTAGTCCCACAGTGTCGGCATGTGTAATTAGTATCGGCATCCCCACGGCACAGTTCTTCATGGGATTTCACGCTTCGCGCCTGGAGTTCTAACCCACATTTACGACAGCGTCCCCGACCCGGCGCTAGCGCCACACCTGGAATATTGCACCTTGCCTCGTGGCTACCTCGCGCATACCTGTCATAGAACCGCATCCCACAATGTCGACACACCTCGATCAATCTCGGGTCCCTTCCTTGGATCTCCTCCCATCCCGCCGGAACCTCTGCCCATCTAGACCATTGGGGGGTGCAGTGGCCCGCCGCGCCTAAATCCGCGTATTTATCCGCCGCGTTATTCCCATAATCTCCACTGTGCCCTTTGACATGCCGGAACTCCAACGGACGAGTTGTCCGAACCTCATCTACCAAATCTGCTACCTTTTGTGCTAGGGGTATGTTGCTCTTGGGGTGTGCGACTCTGACCGCTATGTCCCTCGCGTACTCTGAATCATAGTGAATTTCCGCGCCCACAACCTGCCCTGCCGCGTCCCTTTCGTCTCTCCTTTCGAGTAACCATAAGCACGCTTCAGCAATAGCCGAGAGTTCCCCAGTATTATTTGACAACTTTTCCGCACCCAGGTAGTTGGGATCCCAAGGCGCGATAATCACCGGTCCAAATAACAGAAAATCCGGTGTCACGGGGCGTGCTGGTGGTGCATCATAAATTACCGCGGCCCATCCTGCCTTCCCATGTGCCCCTGAGCCATCCGTATAGATATGACGAAACACCGGCACCTGACCTGCACCTGCTGCTTCCAGAGGGGGATCCCCTGCCCTTACCACATGCGCTAACCTCTCCAGTGGGTTACGTGCGGGACAGTCATGGTGGCGTTGCAGATCGAGCTTGGGAAACCAAACTAAACAATGTGTACATTGGAAAGCTGGGGTTGTGGTCACCGTGGGGTTGCAAATGGCATGGCAGTTTTCATAGTGGACTTGTCTGGTGTTTCCATGTTCAAAAGACATCGGACATACCCAACAGTTATACCTGCCTGGAGTATCAACATGTACTGGGGCGAGGGTGGGGGCGGGAGGGCTATGGTCAGGGAGGGGCCGTCCGGGTCGCCAAGAATCAAGCCGGGAACGTTCTTGAGGGGTGAGGGTGCGATCTGGGAATGCTTGTTGGATCCGTTTCCTCCATTCAGTGCGGTTTTGCGCTAATCGGAACCAATCCTCAGATTGTATCTGAGCCTGGGCTAAACATCTTTCAAACCACCTAGCTTGGCCTATCCATGTGTGGGCTTTCATAGACCGACCTTTCCACCAACCGAATAAGGCTTGTTTTGGCCTCCGATTGACTCCCATACGCGCGATATGGCCCAACCACACGAGAGAAGCCTTCATGATCATATGAGTCGTCGTCGGCCATCCCGCAGCCTTGCGAAGCATTTCCCCAGATATGTGATTATCCACAAGCTCGCGTTGCCTAATTCCCCAACATCGCCGCAAACAACTTTTGAGGGATTGGTCTAACCGGGTGATCAGTAAGGTGTTCCATGACCGTGTGCGTGCCGTGGCAAGGGCTGTCGGGATAACTACTGCTTTGGCGATCGTCAACCTAACCGATCTTTTCATTTGACACTGAATACGTCTGTACCCCGAGCCCCCAAACGACCAACTACGCGCTGCTGCAGACATTTTCCTAGCCACCTGTAACCTACGTTTGTTGTTTTCCGTAGTTGGGATACCCGATGCAGAGACCCATCCCCCGACATGTTTCACCGCCTCCGCCTCCCCGTGATTTGCCACGTCCGTTCCCTGTAGACCTCTACCAGCGATTCTCAGACCTTCCGTTTTCAACGGGTGCACCTTTTCCTCCCAGTCCTTGCACACTACCGTAAACAGTTTCTCAGCCTCACAGACCTCCTCGGCCACCCCGCAAATTCCAGTGTCATCTGCATACCCAAAATCTCCCAAAATGACTTCCCCGGTCTCCCGTCCCGCTTGGAACCTACCGGCCTGGCGTTTACATAGTTTCCCGTCCACTTTATATTCCCAAACCAATCCAGGGGTCAGACCGCGTGCTTCTGCTAATTCCGCCCTACGAGCCCTGTAATCTTGAAGTACCGCATCATGAAATATATTGAACAAGACCGGTGAGCTCGGACATCCTTCCCGTAGACCGCGATCCGGGACATACGACCCCGAGCACCCTCCATAGATGCGCACCTTCATGGCTGTGTGTTCATGTAACCCTTGAAGGACCTTCACCATCCCCTCCGGACATCCCCGACGCCGTAACACCTCCCACATAGCAGCCCTGCACACCCTCGGGTAAGCTTTTTCGATATCAAAGAATCGCAGAAGTACAACCTCGTCAGAATCCACCCTCGCCACCTCCTCCGCGATTCTCCGTGACACCTGCAACACGTCGTCCACCCCACATCCAGCCCTAAAACCTGTCTGGGCCTCGTGCAACCAGTGATTGCTTCACCTGGATAACCGGTTCGCAACTATACGGGCTAAAATTTTGGTCCCCACACTTAATAACGTCACTCCTCGCCATGTCTGCTTATCAGCCCGATCCCCTTTTTGCTTCCACAATGGTACCACCAAACCTACCTGCCATTCAGCCGGCCATAAGCTCGCCTCCTGTCCTGCCACCGCCTCCATTGAGTATGGCCAGGCCCGTACCACGATTGAGTGCAATTCCTGTTGTAGACCTGACCCTCCATACTTGAGAAATTCAGCCATGAAGCCATCCTCCCCGGATGCCCGACGATTCTGCATTTGTCCTACACACCTTTCGACCTCTTCTTTGGTGGGTAACATTTCCAGCCACCGAGCTGGTTCTCCTACCCTAGGAATATTCGCCCAGACCCTGTCCGCCACTTCTCCCGCCCCAGTTTGAATCGCCTGAAAGTGTGCTTTCCACGCTTCCCGTTCCGCTTCAAGATCTGTTGGTAGGACTCTGGATCCATCCCCTTGCCTTAATTTCGTATGTGCCCCCAGAAGTTTGTGTAAACGAAATAGTTCCCCCAAATTTCTCTCCCTCTCTGCCTGCAAAGCCTGCGTCGCCAGTTGCGACCAATAGAATGTTTCCCATTCGCTTAGTTTCCTCCTACGTTCCCTGCGTGCCTGGTTCAAAGTGCGGCGTGTTGCATAGACTAGCAGTTGTTGCGCTTCATCCCACGGTTGATCACCTTGCCTCACCTGCCTGTCCCTTTGTAACGCTGCGGCCACCGTAGCATCTAATTGTTTCAGTTCTTCCCAATGCCCTTCTAACCATGGTCTTACCTTGTCTACTTCGGCTTCCCCGAGTACTCTGAACGCTGCCTGGTTGCAGACCTGAACAACCTGGGTCCATGTCAAAGACTCTCCTGGTTCCTGTGTCCTCAGTGTCTGGAGGTTAGTCGTGATTTCCTCCTCAAATTGGCGCCGAAATGTGCTAACCGTATGACCAACACCCCACAATTTCGCCACATCCGGTTTCGGCGTGCTCCGTTGAGTACTAGCCCTGGGCAACCACATCTTACCCTGCCTCAAAGTTAAAACCAAAGGACTGTGGTCCGTGTACCCAAGCCATACCGATTCCTCCTGCCTCCCCGGGGGTGCGTGAAAGGCTCTGCAGTGTGTTAGATGCCACTTGTGCCGTCCATCCAGCAACCAGTGATCTAAGGTATGCGTAGTACCATAGCGGGGGTGTGTCCATGTACTCCTATTGTTTTGTGCGAACTGACTTGCCGCGTCAATGAACCCAGCTTCCCTACACCAGTCCAACCATTCCACACCAGGAGGTGACCTACGCGGATACCCATGTGGTCCCAACACATCTCCCCAATCCCCATTTTCGGGACGTCCAAACTCTGCGTTAAAATCACCTGTGACCAAGCGTATCGCAGTGCCTGGGGCATGTCCCAACATATCCAGTACCTGTCGTCGCAGTTCGCGGCGTTCACCTACCGATGCATCCGAGGTGGGGGCATAAAGACCAACGACAAACAGCCCGCGTTTCCAACCTTGACGACCCAAATACATCCCTGCGACGCGTGAGTCACTGCCAGGCGAAGAGCTACTAGTCCAGAACTTACCTCCACCTAATTGCCACCATTGGTACCACCTTGATGTCATGGCAAAGGCTATACGACCTACACACAGAACCATCCATGTCTGAACAGGGGTCCGATATTCCCGAATACCATGATATCTAAACTTGATATCAGTCAGGACGGCCAAACCTACACCTTGACGGTTAAGGAGGTCCAACAGACTCTGCGTTTTGGCAACTATGTCATATTGTGAATACTGAGCTCCCCAGCCTCTTACATTCCAAGTGATCATTTTCAACCTACTACTCTTCCTTTGTAGGGTTCTTTCTCTACGCTCATTTTCGACTAGCCTCTGTTTGATACAGTTGTGTTTCCGCAATTTGGCTAACTTTTTCTTTCGCGCTTGCCTTGAAAATTTTCCGAGTAATCTCCTTTTCTTTACTTTGCTCCTGCCCTGCTGTAGTGATGATTCCAACATGTCTGCTAAATGCCGTTTACCTTGACGTCGACATTCCGCTACCGTACCAACCCCTCGCACTCGTGCTGTCCTGCGTACCATCTACCTCCTACTCGCCAAAAACTATCGACCCACACTCGTTGAAACCTTGGTCTCCCTTAGGGATGACACCTTTGGGCCCTAGCCTAAAACCTGTGTAACCAGCCAAAAACTACCCAGTGAAGTTTTTCAACCAACGTGTGGGCCAGTCACGTTGATCTATCCCCCCGCTCAAGGTTCGGAGGGAAGAACTAACCGCGGGGGCAAGTTCAACGTCCCTTGAACCGAAAAGAGCAAGGGTCGCACACTCCCGACCTCCCCGTTATACCACACACCTGAAAGTACCCAGACAACCTCCATGGAGGTACGCCAAACCTATAGCAAGGAATGGGGTGGGTTGGCCCTTGGCTAGGCGCGTCCCTTTTAGTCGCATGCAGAGGTGAGTTCGCACACGCGTATGTACATGTTCTCTGAAGTTCAGCCAAGGTTCATGACCTGCACTTACTTAACAGCCAAGGTTGCTCCAGCGGCGCCCACGTGAAGGGCTGTGTGCCTTCGCCGCCGTAACCAGGGAATTTGCCCGTGATCTCCGGAGTGATATATCCCATTGTTGCAAGCATGGATATGCGACCGTGCTTCTTCTGTCTTCCATCTCAGGGATGGGACTTAACACCCGAGCACGGGGCATTAAGCCAGGTGTTGATCCAGTCTGTGTGGATCTCATGTTAAATAGCTAGAATTGGCACATAAGTATTAATGCTGAAAGCAATTCACTCACATCGGTTGGGCTGAGGGCCTAACAACATGTAGGGCGGCAAGGCATCATGCACTGGTTGTCACATATCAAAATGTTTGTACTTAGGGAGAAGAAGCAGAGCATACAGCTTTGGCCAGCTTGCCAAACCGTCTCCACCCTTCGGTATGCGTGGCACTGCATCTTGAACATATTAAATCATCGTCCAGCTGTTCTGGAACACGAAAAATATGCAGATCACCATTTTGTTCTGCTCTTTGGTTGTGGGTTTGAACCCATTGCACTCGCTTGGCAATTTGGATACTAGCTCTTTGTGCACCAGGCTCCACTGGCGCATTTTGGTCTTGCTGTCCACCGCAATGTTCAAAGACAAATTTGCTGAGATTAGCTATCCTTGTAGATTTGTGGCAAATGGTGCATTTAAGATCCTGGCCTTCATCAAAAGGCGCGAGCATATGTTTATTCAACTGGATAGCTGTTCTATTGTGAAGGATTCTTTTTTCCAGGCGGACTCTATGGCCCTTGCATTGTCTATTTCTTCTTTTTCTGCTGCACTCCATTGGATCGACTGTGTGCTTGCCTTGTGTGAGGTAGCACTACGTTTTTGGCTGGGAAGTGCAACATCTTCAATAGGCGTTTGTTTTCCGACCAGACGTCGTCGTCCTGGTCCCGACCACATTGGTTTAGGTAAAGACGTGTAATCTGGATAGAAACTGCGTTTGCGTTCAGGTTTGGCAGCATCAGGGTGCATCGCTGCTTCAAATAAAACTTTATGGACCACTGCTGGTTGGAGGAATCTAGGCCTTGAGTTGAGTCCGGTCGCTCTTCCTAAACCCAGAGAAGTTAAAATTGGGACCATTCTAGAGTCGTCGAAGTCAGGTACTATGGTAGCCTTACATATATGTGCAACTCTTTTTGCTGCCGCTCTGAGGAGTCGGGCTTGTTGTTCAAGGTTTAAATTTTCACTTTGGTCTCTTTGCAGAGCACAGTGAGTTGATGCGACAAAGTCAATTGCGAGCTCTGCCCAAGTGACAGTCTATTCGGAGTCTTCTTGTGGCCACTTAAGTTGCCGGAAATACCATACTAAGCCAGGGAAGAGATCTAAGGAGTAGGACCACTCAGCATTACCTTGAAACCTCCGCCAGTTTTCAGGTATTGAACCTTTAAAAAACTTATGGGTACATTCATTCGTCAAATCCCAGTGCCAAGGATACATCGGAAATAATTCACATCTATGATAGGCTAAAGGGTTGAGTTTTTGTAGGGAAAGGTCTTCTGGCGAAGCCACAGGTGATTGTGGTTTTTGCTCTTCAGCAGATTGTGTCTGCGTTTTCCTTCTTTTCTCGCGTAGTGCCAAAATGGAGATATACATTTACATGGTCTGCAAGTGCCTGGCAAGGGTTTGTCTCTGCATTTGACTACCGGGAGTTGTTGAAAGCATGATGCCGCATTGGCGAGTGCAAACAGGTAAACTATCCAGTAGGCTACTGTCGTATGATTGAAAAAGTTTAGTTCGAAGTGAGGCCCATTCCGGGCATTTCCAAAGAATATGTTCAACCGTTTCATCTTCCTGCTTACACCATGGACACGTGGCATTTTGAGCCTGTTTGCCCTTTACAAGGCGTTCTCCGGAGTAAATGCATCCCGTTAAAATGGTCCGTAGGTGCAAATATTGTGTGGCTGAGTAAGCTTTTTGCTTTCCTTTTTTGTTCTGTCCTTTCTGCATTTCCAAATCAAGGCAACAGTGCTTTCATAGTCAATGAACTCAGGAACCGCATCCTGCATGTCTAACCTGTTCCGAAACGCCTTCTCACCCCAGACTTTGCATCTTAGCATAGATCTGAGTCTGTGTTGCCAATTAGGTGCAGTATCCAGCAAGTTAAGAAAGTTTCCGTTGATATGCTGCATTTCAGTAGGCGAAACACAGGTACACTGCAATGACTTGACAGCTGCACGGAACGTGGCAGTAGGCCCCACGCTCTTCTGTCCATCTGCATGTTTTTCCGAGACCTCAGCAAACATGGTGAGAAGATCAGGGCGTCGTGATAATATTCTTCTGATTGTAAGAAGTGTATGATATATACTGGCTTGAACAGCATCAACTTTGTGTCCAGGGAGAACAAAAGTGAAATTAGCACTTGGAGACCTACATGAAGCTGTTCTTCTGCGCAGCCCTTCGCACTGCCGTAGTGTCAAAGGTTAGATTTCACATCCAAAAAGTGCCATGGGCATTACTGCTGATTGGATCATGTGTACTCTTTGAGAAAAGGCTAGAGGTGCGTATCGTCCTCTCTTGAGTCTATTGCTGGCTTTTTGCACTCTTTTTTCTCTGTTGTCGTTCTCAGTGAAACCACATGCTGTTACCATTCCACCCACCAGCACGAAAGAATTAACGAGTTTCAAAGATGGCTCATTCTGACAAAACGCTGGTTGCAAAAAATTGCGGCAAGGTTTTGTGTTGCCAAAACATGAAGTCTTTGAGTTGTTGACCTGTATACCTGACAAGGCGTCGAACTGCAGCGATCGCTGCCATGCTTTTTCTAAGCCTTGAACTGCTGCTTCTGCAGTTTTGGCCACGCAACGCATGTTGTTGTCATCTAAAAAACCACCTGTTGAGATGGTGGTATCCTGCAACACTGGTGTGGACTCTACATGTTTTGTCCAAATGGATAGCAGGCCTAGTGCAGCTTGCAGTGAAAAGGAGCAACCTTGGACGAATCCGTTGGTTCGCTGACTCACTTCAGAAGAAATGGCTCCATTGGCTTTATAGAAACATGTAAACTGTTTATAGAATGCCCTTTCTGCTACGATCACTTTTTGTGGTGCCCCCAAGGCTGCGAGCACATTGAAACAGGTTTCATGTGGTAACAAGTCAAAAAACTTACGTCGGTCAAGGGTAATGCCGGCAAGGTGATTTTTTGTCACTCGCGAGTGTTCAAGCAACAGCTGGAGTTCAAAGGACACGTCGCTGGTTTCATGTTTTTTCCGTGCTCCATGCATCGACGCGGGCATCCATGAGTCTCTCCATTCTGACATCTGCTTAAACCTCAAACCACTATATATAGTGGTCCTCGGCGATATGTTTGAGATTGGTCGGGTGTCATATGCGGAAGGTGCCAAAATCACACTGGGATTAAACTTGGTGACATCAGGGGTAGATTTTGGCAGGCAGGAAATGCATGCATGGCTGCTCAGGTATGGCCAGCTTTGTCCATTTTCAACTGCTTGGTAAAGTTCTGCGACTAACTTTAGCAAAGAAACTGGTAGCTGTTTCATTTCGGATACTCGCCAGCCATCTACAGCAATAGCTCTGCTGGCAGGCATGCGTTGGATATGTTGGTATATCTGTTCGGCAGTAATATCTTCAATAATACAAGGCTGGGAGACAAGAAGGTCCTGGAATTGATTGCGAAAAGCTTCCCAGGATGGCTGATCGGCTTGGTTGAAGAGCCTGTCCCATTCGGTCTGAAGACTATCTACAACTGCTTGAGGCGTCACTGCAATTTCGCCAAACTCTGTGGTTATTGCATTGAGTGGAGGTTTCCACTCATCTTTCAGCCATGCAAATGCTTTACGGCCGCCTTTCTTAAAATCGAACCTCAAGGAATCTTTCCATGTTTTGAGTCTCTTTTTCACTTGGGAATTTCTGAGTTGCGTGATGTGCTGATCCAGTAGACTTTCGAAACAATCGAGATCTTGGCTGGTGACTTGCTTATCCTTGGGGAAAACCATTCCTAGATGGGAGGCAAACTTAATAAGGCACTTTTCCAGGATTTGGATGTCACGAATAACTTGTTCACTTTGCGATACTTTCTGCAACTTGAAACGCAGTTCATGAGACTGACGTTGTACCTTGAAGGCCTTAGTGAGTGCAAATGTTCCACTGTCAACAGGGTGTTGTTTGGAAGCAGCTGACTGCGTCGTATTCATTTGCTGGAACTTTATGCTTGAGTGACGACCCCCTTCTCCAACTAGTTTTGAGTCCACATGGATAGCGCGGAGGTATTCTTCAGAAATTTGCGCAAACACATGCCAAGCTTTGTCTGGATCGTTTTTTGATTGGTTGAATTCATTCTTCCATTTATTGAGTATTTCAGTAGCAATCATGTATTTCTGGTCTTCAGGTAGAGAGGAGTTGGTAGGAAAACCTTGTGGGTGCTTTAACGAACGGTATGTGGTATTGATCCATTCAGTGCGCACATTTATTTCTAAACCCAGGTGTCCCTGAGGCTGGAGATCACGGCGAATCTGGAAATTATCAATTATAGATAATGCTGCAGCATTAGCAAATATGTAGTCTGGTCGCGTGGCGTGCTTTTCCCAGCTGTATTTGTCCCATTGCTTGCGAGAACTAAATGTAGGCTTAGGTTGCCCGTTGGAAAAGTGCGATCCTAGATCGATCCATTTTCCTGCTGCAACTGCTGTGGACATGCTGTGTGAACTGTCTATGGATGTGTTGGCATCCATACATATTATGACAGGTTGTTGTCCAAGCCTATTTGCATGGGTAAATACCCTTTCGAGATATCTATATATTTCTGTTGGTTCGGATTAGACCCTGGTCCCTCCCAGATAAATTGTAAAAAGAGATAATGTGTAAAAACCGTTTTGAGTTGGCACCTTTTGCAGCGAGTGGAAACGCCGCATGGACCCAACGTGCTGTCTTAAACAGGGGTAAGACTTCGGGAGTACAGGAACATGGTTGTAGCGAACATTTATCTTTGGCAAAGATAGCTACCCCGCCTTGCCTGCCTGTTGGGGTGGAAGCACGTGCAGTTCTTAGTTGGCCTCCCTTTCTGAAGGTTACTGGTGGACACGCTTCTCCATGTATGGCACGAATACCATTGCTCTGCAAAAAAATTGTGTTGCTTCTCGTACCAGCTGCAGTCAGGCGTGTTTCTTGCACCACAAGGACATCAGCCTGCTTGATGAGACTGTCACGGTGCAGCATCCAAGAGTTAACATTAAGACTGAGGATCTTGAGGATCTTGCAAGAGGTATCCTTGGAATCAGTGGGATTATCTTCTTCGAGCGGTTTAGGTTTCCCATTAGGAATTTCAGGGGTGTGTTGAGGTGAATGTGGATATTGGATTGGCTGTCGAGAAAGAATAACATCATAGTGATCGTACCCATTATATGCGAGTCTGACAGTTGGTGAAAATTCGGTGTAGAATTCCTGCACGCCATAATTGGGTGTGTATACCTGAACGTGAACGGAAAACAACAGGGCGAGCGAGTGCACACACAGTTCGTCACCATAGGTCGTATCCATGGCCATGGCGTTTAAGTATTCGGTGGCATCTTGATGGCTATCAAAGCGATTAATCAGAACCTGAGTTTGTTCAATGTTTTGGACGCATTCTTTTCTCAAATCCACAGGATTTTTACGGATTCCCGTTTGCTCGAAGAGTGATCTTGCAAATGCTCTAAACAAACAAGCGCCGTCACCAATGACGGACTGTATGTGTGAGTCATCCGGGATTTGCCGCTGCAATGCTGCGGCGGCTGCCTTTCGATTAGCACTGGCTTGTGTGTGCTCTTTTAAAGATAAGGCAAGCACTCTCTGTAGTTCCAGGTCTTCAAGGTTCTCAGGTAAACGCTTTCCACCACCTGGTGATGCAAAAGAAATCACTTTAGAACATGTAGTTTGAGGTATGAGCTGCGTCATTTTCGATACATGGTTCATTTGGGTTTATTGCACTTTGTCGTTTTGGCTTCAGCTGAAAAATAGTTCTTTGCGAGAAAAAATTTCTTTTGCGGTGGGTAAAAAACGATGGAGAGAGTCTTTGTGAGAGATGATCCAATTCTGCTCGAATGGCATGCAGATCCTTTTTACAGTTGAGAAATTGTCTGATACTTGTTATTGCTGTGACAACACTTTTGGCCCTGGAGTATTCATTTTCATTGATCGGTCACTTGTATTTTTGAGTAGGCGCTCCGTGCAACTCACCCAGTGAGCGGCTGCGGTTTTTTGACTTTGTTGGCTGTGCCACCAATCTCTGCTTTCAGTGGACTTGACTGCATGTCGGATGGGCGTTTTGCAGGAGCCATGTTAGATGGTGCACTGGTAGAACCAATGGCCAGTGCATGGAGAGCGGACATTACTTCATTGTGCTGCTGGGAGAGCGTGCTTTCCAACTGATCCATACGATTCTCTTGCCTGTCGACCCTAGACGAAAGTGCCCCGAGTTGGGCTTTAATGGCAGCAATGTCTTTGTTCGAGTCACTATCGTGTGTGGTCTGCGAACGATTAGGCTTGGATTTGCCTTTTCCTTTTGCGTCAAGATATGTCTGCCATGCGTCCTCTGTGTTCTGCTGCTGGGCCTGCATGAAGTCATCTCGGCGCTTGGTTTTGGCTGCTTCTGCTTTCTGGATTGATTCCTTTTGCTTTTTATGAACTGTTTCCTGTGGAGAATCAAGTTTTTCGATCACAAGTTTTCGACCACCATTCAGCACAAGTCGATCGCAGGCTGGATCCTCATCTGCTTTCAATGACCAATTGCAACCATTTGCAGTTGGGAACATTTTTAGTGGAATGACTAGCCAAGGTTTCCACTGCGACTGGTTATGAGGCTTAGAATTCATCAAATCGATCACCTGCTGGATGCTTGTTGAAGATGGAAAACCTTTGACCATATAGCGCTTGGTTCCGATGACACTCTTATTGGCATTCGTAATTCGGAGCGAGTTGCTTTGTAGCAAGCTTCTGGCTGCAGCGACATGATTGCTCTGTACCCTAATACCGAGTCCTTGTTTGTTTCCGATGAAACCAAGGACTCCAGTGAGCGTGCTTACCAACATGTTCAATTCGGGAGTTGTCTTGATGTCATTGGCCCATACCATGACCTCGTCATCGGCCGCAGTGAAAATCTCCCCTTTGTTGATGAACGGACGTGCAAAAAGCAAGAGGTGCCTGGAATTGATCAGTTTGTCAGCATCCTTCATGGGGACACGGATGCATAGGCTCATATTGTCATCGGTGATTTTGAAGCCCCACGTGTCCAGTACTTTTGATTGAACCCCAAGAATCTCTGCTACGCACTGCAACACATTGTTTCGTGTTTCCTTCACTGTCGAGGTGACCACCTGGTTCCATATTTCATTGTTCTTGTGTTTCCATGCTTGAATCCATAATACTTTGGTCTGGTCTTGTGGAGCGACAACTGTGTGAGGGAGGTCAGCTGGAACGACAAGCTCTTTTCCAAGGTTAATGATCGTCACCTGTCTTGGGAATCGTCTGTTGATGACTGGGTCTCGCAGTGTCAAGACACATTCATAGGCATGAGATTTGAGAGTAGGATTCGATTCCTGCAACAGAGATTGAAGGTCTTGTCCAAGTTTACCAGGTACGACTAAGGCCAAGTGTTCTTCGCTTTGCACACGGAGTTTTGGGCGGAGTAGCAGTGAGTTACAGAAACTCACTCCGCACGCATCATCTTTGACTTGGTCTGCACGGATCGTTTGCAACATGTTGTCATTTGGAATCTTCAGCTCATCAGGATTACAGAGTTCCACTCCAGGGAGTTCTGCTGACGACTCCTATTTGCATCTCGTGATTTCCCCTTTTGCTCCATTTTCGTTGATTGCATGCATGCTCTTGTTTCTTGCTTTCCTTGTTGTGTACCATCCTTTGTTCATGCTATTCGCTTTGTTCACCCTTCGATGGGGTATGTATGCACATATCAACAGCCATGTAAAAAACATGCAGACAAGAACAGCCCTGGCAACATGTGGTGTGAACCGCTTGTGTCGATGAGCTTTGAATCTGCACCTGCCAATACAGCGACATCTACCCATAGGCCTTTTTCTTTTCCAAACTCTTTTCGCAAGCCAGTACCAACTGGTCAGGTCTCGCCTGTGGTAGGAGGCTTTTTTCCCATGGCATCTGACAGCGTTCAGTGCAAAGAAGTAGATCAGGGATGTCACAAACATCCAAATCTCTTTCATCAGGTTGCCCGAGAACGTGTTCTCGGTTTCATCGGCCATGTCAAAGACATAGGAGCCCAGAGACAGCGCAGAATACATCAAAATGTAAACATTGAGGTAGAAGAAGAAGCACCAAATCCACTGGACCAGATCAAACGAATTGCCCATGAGAGCATGCATCTGTCGATTGCGTACTTTGTTGTCAATATGCCACGAGGCATCACATGGGTATCTCACGCGGGCATCGTCAGCAAACACAGGCTCCACCGGCGGGAAGGTGATGCCAGCCATGTACCGAAGCAGGTCCATGGGAGCCCATATGCGACCGTGCTTCAACTCGGTCTGACGACGTCGCTTGAAGTTCTCCACGCTTCCATCTGCTGTGAAGCCTGCAGGGTCCCAAAAGTTGGTGCTTGTAGGAGTAGTAGTGCATGCAGCGCCTACACTCCATTCCTGCGGTGTTCATCCTACACCATGTCTATCAAAAGCAACTGGACGCGCTGATGAAGAAGAAGAAGGCTCATCACGAGCCACTGATGAAACACTGAGGTGAGACACTGGTTGCTTTCCGATGATTCGCTTCGCGACACGGACATTGCTTGTAGGCGTACACACAGTACGCGACAGATTGCACACACGATCCTTCCACCTCCACCATCTGTTACACCTTAGGCAGTGTAACCACCCTTCATCCTCACTGCCGATTTGTTTCCCTAACTTGCGGTTCCACTGAAGCGTATGTCCCCCTTGTTGTATTTTGTATTGAGTTCTCGTTCCAACCCGTCCAAACGGTTCTCAGCCATGTTGTGTCCCTCCTGTACCAGTATAGGCCCATTAGGACTGGAGCACGGGTTTTTGGTGATCTTCAGCCTGACGTGTTTTAACATGCTGGTGTATTTTCCACAGCGCTTGCACCACATCCCCGGTCCGTTTAACCGTGCCGACAACAAATGCCCATTTTCCTCAACGTCCTCCCCCCTGATGACCTGGTGCTCGTTGATCTCCCGATGTCATACTAGTAGGTCTTCCCCAGCTCCCCATTGTTTAATATGATGTTGCCAAACCTTCACCAAATAGGATTGTACCGCAAAAATTTCCTCATCTGTAAGCCAGCTGTCCTGTGGTACGATAGCCGCATATTGCATACATACTGGTAGGTCTTCCAAAGAACACGTCAGTTGTTCGCGAAGTAGGGTTCTGTAATCCTGGTACTGCACACACCTCCAAGATACATGCTCCACTGACTCCCTTTCCGCCCCACACCTATACAGATGCTCCCCTTGCTTTTTGCGATGCCGTAGAGCTCGGTCTGGCGTCATCAGTCCACCTGCAAATATTGTTCTAAGAACCCCCATCTGTGCCCTAGCCTCCGAAACCTCCACACTGACACTGTCGTAATCTTCTTGATCAGCAATGTCCTGAAGGGAATTGTACCACCGCATAGTCCGCTTCCTATCAACCCGTTGTGCTCCTGCATAATGATGACTTCTTTCACGACTGACCCTTCCCCACAAGAAGTTCCTCCACTCCTCCCGTAGCCTGTGCAGCCATTCCCCCTCAGTATGTTCTCCATTGACCAAGGTATAGATGTGCCTCCCCAAGATACTGGTATCCGCCAAGGTCTTTAGTCTAGCAGTAGGGCCATCGACTGGAAAGGATGGGTCCATGTAAAACCTTCTTTTAAGCTCAGCTGCTGCAGCAGGTCGCCTCACATAGCGCATAATTGCCCGTAAGCCTTCATAGATACACCCGAATTCAGGATCAAGTTGAACAGGTACCAAAATCGCCATAGTGACGAGCGGACTACATGAATACGCATCCATCTTCCATAACGACCGCATGATGTCTGCCCTAACCTTCTTAAGGTAGTCCAAATTCTCCACCAACCCATGTGAACCCTGACCAAACGTAGCCTGTGACTGTGTCGCCAACATCATACGAGCACGCTTCATCCAACCATATGGCAAATGCCGTATTCGGCGAATAGTACCCCTCCATTTAGACCATCTTTTGTTTTCGAGCTGTGTAAGGAAAGAAGCGTTTTCTCGAACAACAATTGACCCACCTACAATACGGAAATCCTTCGAATGCTGGAACTCATTATGCAAGATACCTTGAACAGAATCATCACCAAATGTGTAACACTTTTTGATATTGAGTTCACCACATCCTGACGAGACGTACCCCCTAACAACCGCATGGATAGCCCTCAGCTTGTCTTTCACCTCCGCTTGTGTTTGACCCCGAACCACCGCAGATAAATCATCAGCATAGGAGCGCACTGTTTGATGCTGAACAGGAAGATGACGGGTAGCCTCCACCACACATGTCACCAAACTATTGAGCAGAACCATGGAAATAGGATCACCTTGCACGAGCCCGTTGTACGATTTCCACCACGAACCAATGGCACCCTGTAGCCTGAACACTCTTCTTAATCCCCGATAAAGCCCGTGAACAACGCGAAGAATACGACTGTGACACCCCCTTATTCTCATGGCTTCAAGAGCGACTTCAATAGGTACAAGATCAAATGCCTTACGGCAATCATAGCTCACACCCGCCACGAACTGAAACTGAGAGTACCCACGGCTTTCCAGCTCCATCGATATATCCAAAGCCATCCCTTCCGCGCTCTTACCTGGACGACAACCATAGACTTCCTCTGTCACCCACCCCTCTTGCCATTTCAGTATAAGTCACCAAAACGAGCCTTCGCATACAACCTGTAGATAGCCGATAGAACCGTAATAGGTCGGTAATCAGTAGGAGCCACATCCTGTAAGGTGTCGTCTTTCGGAATCAGTGAAGTATAAGCATCCAATAACCCTGATGGCCATTCACCAACATCCTCTACATGGTTCAAAATAATCGCCAGATCATTAAAAATCATGGGGAACCACCATCCCAATGCAGTAAGAGCCGAAGGCTTCCAATTATCCAAAGAAGGTGAGCTAGGCGATGTGGCTGTAGCTGCCTTAACTAGATCGTCGCCGCATAGAGGATTCAAAGACATAACAGAAGATTGAATATGCTGACCAAAGTGCTCCATAAATGTAGCAACATCCGGCTTGCTGTCTTTGAACTTGTGAAAGATTGGGGTCCATTCATTGAGTATTGCTTCCAGTTGTTCAGATCGATCAACCGTATATCCACCCCCAGAAGTACGCATTGGTACTGGCTCGACCTTTGAACTTCCTTGTAACCACTTGTATCCCTGTTTTTCGGAGGATTGCATTCTTCTTTTCCATGCCTTCAGACGTGTCTTCTCATCTTCGCGCTTAGACCTACTATAGTATATTCCTCGCCCACAAGTTTTTGTAACTGACCCAGTTTGTCCCTTGTCAACGTATCGCGCAAGAGAGGTTGCGCAATTCTGCCAAAATCCCCCTTCTCCTCATTAACAAACCGCTTCAGATGTGCAATCGTAAGTTCTGCCCGGTATGCCCATACGTTCATCCTATCCAACTCCTGCAATTGCCTCATAGCTTTTGCTAGCTTTCTACATCGCACTGTGTCAGCTCCGGCCACGCCTTCTGGGGGTAAGACAGTCATTCTACGCAGAGAGGTTTTACCTCTACCATTACCCCAGTCATACCCACCCCCAACCAGCGGTATATGAGATAGAAGGCCTTCAGCCCTGCGACACCACAGATCAAATGCACCGTCAAGATCTCCCTGCAAGAGTTTGGCTCGTAAATGGTGATCAGTGCTAACATGCGGCGCAATATAACTCTCTGAAGGCTTCGAGTACGCCTCCGCGGAACCGATCCTCTTAGTCATATACCAGAATTGAGCTGCAATCGGACTAACCAGAGTTAAATCAAGCATGCGGTGATCCCCACTATTGATTCCTTCCAATAAATCATATCCCTTTGCCAAAACAGACGCAGTCTGGTTGAAAAATGCAAGATCAATACGAGCCCCAGTTCCCTTCAAGGACGTAGGTCCGTCATCAAACCCATGAATACCGAAAATGGCAGCGTCAACCCATCTTGATTTTTGGTATAAGCCAACTTCTTCAGGTGCATCATTCACAGTTAGATTAAAATCACCACAAACAATAGTTGCAATATCCCCACGCTGAATGGAATCCTCATGCACTGCACGCAGAAGCTGTTTGTTGTATTCCTTCTTGTCCGCTTCCCATCTAGCCCCAGACTTACCATAAATGACATACACAATGATGGACCGTCGCTCGGAACTTCGAAAAATTTGTACACATAACAAGCGAGCATCAGAATAGAATCTTTCACATTTGCCGGAGATAAATGGCACTGCCTTGACCGACCATGCTGAAGACTTCCTATACATAAATGCAACACCAGCGAACCCTCGATCCCTGACCGGCTCTCCAAACAGAACCGCGTGTTCTTGCAATTCCCTGACAAACGACTTCTGTGTATATGCATTCGCATGAGTCTCTGTAACTGCCATGAAGTCAACCGTGTGCTCTGCCAAAAATTCACTTCGACCATGCTGTTGCAATCCAGCGATATTACAAACGCGTAGTTTAACTAGCGCGTCACCGACACCAGCCGTATTGCCATGGGACATATGCATTAACTTGTTCCTTCTCTTTCGAGATATGAGTGCAAAAGATTTAATTCTGTGAAACTTTTCCGGCCCACCTTTCAAATCATTTCTTTGGATCCGGAGTTTCTCCGGTCTTCCCCTCATGTGGCCTTTTGGCCACTTGCTTGGTTGGTGATTGAATACTGGATGCCTGCAATCTTTCCAAAAAGGCTTTCTGTGCCTGGGCTCGCTCATTGACGCTACTCTTAACAACCCGACTGGCCTGAGAGGAGCTTGCACTTTCCTTTCTGGCAGATGCATTAAGAGCCTTGAAACGTACACCTCTAGGTTGGTCCAGGTACTTAAAGTGTGCCGCGGCTTCCCTTCCTTTGTTCGTACTAGTAAAGACTGCTGAATCCTCTCCCTGGTATACGACTTCAACAACCTCCCAACCCAAAGACACCAGCATTTGGTGCAGGCCCTGGAGACCAGCAAGCAAGGGAATACCTGACACCTTCCATCGCTGTACCGAGTTGTCATACTGGTATTTGTTGGCTTGTGCGAAGGAAACCAGCTCATCTTCGGTACGAAAACGAACGGCAAGCCGACCCTTAACACCCTTCTCAACAACACCGATAGCTTTCGCTCCCTCACAGATTGCCAAAGCATCATCCAAGCCCACGTCTTCGTCCAACCACAACAACTCATGAGCACTCTCTGGTTCAGAACTATGCCTTTTGAGAAATATCCCATTGCATCCGCTTTTGGATAACAAAACCTCCTCATACACATTGTGCACAAGAAAAGTAAAAGATCCATCTCCACGAGGCATAACTGAATCAAAGGCTTGTTCGTCTACATACTGCTTCAAGTGCTGAGTCAAAACTCCAGCTGGGTGCGGCCCATGCGCCCACCCCCGAAGAGTACTGAACTTGGCGACCATACGAGTCATAGTAAACCCGACCTTCACCTCTTCTCCTATTGACTTCATGGTAACTGGATCGGCGAAGCCTAACTGCACCAACCATCTGTCCACTTGCACTTGCTTTCTAGTCCCTCCAGTAGAAGCAACATCATACGTACACCTTACACATGATCTGGGGTACCCCATCATTCCGATTTCATCTGGTTCCTGCACCACGAGGATGCCAACCGGTTTTGAGGAATATCCTACTTTCTCTACTACCTTTGGGATATGCTCCTTTGCAACGACTGCAACACCACCGGAAGAGTCCAAGTGCTGCCACTCCTTGATCGTTTGGATCCACTCTTCCTGAATGAGTTTAGGCTGCATCCTAATTTGGGCCGCTTCAGGCAACGCTGATTTCATAGCTTTGGCGTACTCTACCTCTGGGTCCAAACCCATACTTGCACCTCCCTTGCCTTTTCCCTTATTGCCACCTCCATTTCCAAACTTGGCGTGCATCAGCCTGTTGAAATCTTTCTTGCTCATCAAAGCAAAAACCGCTTCCACGAAAGGAAATTCACAATGGACAAGCCAAATATTCTCCCAATGTATGCACATCAAAGACAACTCACTCACACAAGAGAAAACGTCCTTGGCCCTAAAGGCTGCTTGAATCTCCTCAAAGAAGGAAGGTGTACACTGCCTCACCACTTCGCCATCCATCACCCGCGGCATGTACACCGGATAGCGAAGTAAAGGTGCCGCGGAGCCTGCAGGGTCCCAAAATCCCACCGGAGCTTGCACGCCAAGTTCATTCTCGAAGGCACACGTTGTGATGTGGACCTGAGTTTGCCGAAGCACTCCATGTCCACAAAGAATGGCAGCCTAGTCCGGGGCAGGAGGAGGCCGCCAAATGGATCGTGGAGGATCAATTGAGTAGGGAGTATAGTGGGTACTCCATGATGGATTCTTGGCAATCGGATCGGAATCAGAGTGCAATACTTTCTGTGGCAATGCCTGTGAACAAAGGTTCAACTCATCTGTGACATGAGATTGACATAGTAAAATTGGTCGACGAGATAGACCCGCACTTTTAGGCAAACCAAGTGGCGCAAGAGCACGACAAGTGAGAATTTTGTCACCATGATAGCACTTTGTTTGGCGCGCCAAAGCGTCAACCATGTCGGTGAAAACTCGATATTTTTCATACAGTGATGCAGGAGCAATTGGAGAGGCAGAAACACATCTTTTGAGATCACGTTCAAATTTCTGACGTTTCATCGCTTGATGTGGAGTCTCTTTGTATCCAGCACAGCTTTGTTTCAAGAATCGATTTCTTTCTGGCCAAGCCCCAGTCCGATCACACGCAATACAGCGAAATCGAAGTTTCTTATTCCGTACAATTTTTTCAAGCGTGTGCTCAAGTTTAATATCTGAAGATTTTTGACTGGAACTAGTCCAACTGGCATGTCGTCCAAGGCGGCGGCTACCAAAATGTGCTTCGCAAACTGAAGCTCCTCTGGGGAGGGTCAATCCAGTTGAAAGCTCGAAATCAAGAGCCAGCTCAATCCATGTAACACCTAATGAACCAGCGTCATCTTTAGGCCATTTTAACTGAGCAAGATACCAGGATAAACCATTCCAAGCTAGGTCACCAAAAGGAAATCGGAAAGACTTTTTTAGAGCCGGAAATTTCTTAAATCTAGGCATTAAGCTTTGTCCGGCATCATTGTGGAAAAAATAATCTGAAATACCAACGGCAGAGGACATTGTCTCAGATTCAGAATGCTTTTTTGATGCATATGTGAGTAATTTCTCTTTTTTGGCTCGATTGTTCCGGGAAACAGCAATCTCAGTATACATGAACGCTACCAGCTCACTGTGTTGCTGATGTTGGGAAAAACTTTTCACAAGTGCATCTGAACAACAATGTGTTTGTGTACCTTGTACAGCTGCTGCGTCCGCTGTAGCATTACCTGCTTGATCTTCGTTGGTGGAAATTCCACTTTCAACATCGGCTGCAGAGGCATGACCTTTAACCCATGAGATACGGAAAGAGTGAAATCGATGAGCAAGTAAGTCAGCAACCTGTCTCCAAAGGTCAACATTATCACCGTCAAAAGGGACGGTAGCACCCTGAAGCAAGTTATTCACACCGTCTACAACATAACTGGAATCACTTCTGACATGTAAGGGTCTATTTTCGATGATCAAGGCAGCCAGAACAGCACGGAGCTCCGCACGCTGCGCCGTCTGTTCAAGACCAAGTAAAGGTTTGGAAATAGTCCTGGAATGCAACCTGTCATGATCGTAAATTACTCCATATCCTGCACGTCTTAAATATGGATTATCTTGCAAATTGCATGAGCCATCCGTCCACACAACAACATGAGAATCCTCAATAGTTTCAAGGAGAAAATCATTGGCACTTAAAGGACGGGGGTTTTCTAATTGGTCATCACTGTTACCACTTTTTGAAAACTCAAGAGCTGCAGCTGGAACAACAGGTATGGCACATAGCTTGGTGCAAGCATTTCTTTGACGGAGCCATTCGAAATCGACTCCCGGATATTTTAGCCTGGTGGCTGCCCAAGCAGGACAATCCAAAATGATATGGATAATATCTTCTTCTTGTTGACCACAAAATGGACAGGTGGAATCAGAAATCAAGCCAGCTTTTAAGAAATGTTTGGCTGATCTAAAACCTCCAGAAATTATGGCGGAAAACGTGCCCCTCCAATAGTTGGGCATTTTTTTCAAAATTCGATCGAGTGTACAGCGGTCCACAAGGTTGCGAATGCCTCTCAAATCCAAGCGTTTGTTAGCAATGGACAAATTTTTCTCACGTAAGGCTTGACGTACCTGATGTTGAAAGAAAGATCGCGAGTGAGAAAGCCATGAAATTGACTGGGCAGGCGAAGAGAAAGTTTCAAAATTGTTCCATTCCATGCCAATCACTCAAGGGCAATTTTTAAAGCTGTCACAGGACCAAACCAACTCTTAGAGCGAGGACCATTCCATAACGTCAAAATTCGTTCTTTTAGATCAGAGCGTCGTAGACACATTCGACGTAATTGGACCAAACAGCGGTATACCCATGCACAATAGGGATCAACTCTATGTACAGGATGCAGCAAACTGAGAACAACATCAGTGCTGCGACAAGAACGTTTCTTCCACACAGCACGAGCAATGGCACTACGTAATTTGCCAAAATCTGCTTTCACCGGAGGGCAAACCTCAGTTCCAAAAAGAACTTTGGGCAAAATTTTGGTGGCACAAATCAAACCTCTGTCGTTGGCAGGTAATGGAAAACTGGCTACTTTTGAGGCCATGGTGATGGCTTGGTGCATTCGAACAGCATGATGACTCACACTTCTAACTTTAGAAGAACACAAGTGCACACCTAAACTTTTAGTGTCCATCATTACTTGCAATTTGTGGTTCTGAAATGTGAGTTTCCGAAGAGCCTCCCTATCTTGAGTCATGGTAGCCCATGTGACAGTTTTTGGAGGAGAAAGTTCTCGTGCAGTTATTTGAGCAAATTCCCCTGTGAGAAATAAACATTGTTCTGCATCCGCCACAGATCTAGCCAAGATCATTGAGTCATCAGCAAATGCACGAGGTTTGGAGGACGTCTCAGCATCTATAGTCCGGCACCATATAGAGACCATAAGATTCATAAAGACAACACTCAGGGGACAACCTTGCAGTATACCACAAGAGGATTTAAAGGGTGCACTGTGACCACCGGGAAGCTTGAAGAATCTCTGAAGATTAACATACATGTTTTTCATCACTTGTAGTAGAGGCTGCGAAAAACCCTGAAAAGCAAGATGGAAAATGATATTACGAGGCACCATGTCGAAAGCTTTCTTATAGTCGAAATGGACACCAACCAAGGAATTCCCCGATATCAACGCCTCCTCGATAGAAAGAGCGATATCATAGAAGACATCGTCACAAGAGTGACCAGGCCTAAAACCGAACTGAGCATCATGGAGAACGGACTCCTGCCATTGGATGACATCCTGTAGACGATAAGCACAATACATACGGTATAAGACCGACATGACACCCAACGGTCTCTGTCCCAAGGGAGACATGTCATTGACATCTTTTGGAATTAAAGAACAAAAACCGTATTGCAAAGCATCAGGCCACTGTTGGGTTTCGTCAATGGTTGAGAACAATTTGGGTAGAATACTCAAAATACAGTCTGGTAGATTTTTGAGATCTGAAACGGCCCAGGCATCAGGACCTGACGCCGAGCGTGTTTTCATTTTCTTCAAAATTTGGCGCGAACCTGCAGTCGTGAATGGGCGAAGTGTCATTTTGACTGGCTGTGGAAAATACTGCCCATATCTCAGTTCAAAATTGGACCAGGAAGGTTCTGGTTGGGAAGAATACTTATCAAAAATAGGCAACCAAGCATTCTTTAAAAGAGATTCAAGCTCTTTAAAATTGCCTGTCAGCTTGCCCTCAGAAGTCTGAAGAATTTTTGTGGGAGCATGCAACACCGGATCAACTTTTGAGTAAACATTGGAAGGCTTGGTCTTCCAGTCTTGTTGCAGCTTTTCACGGGCAATCGTGATACGTTTGTAAGTTTCTTGTGCTTGCATGCTAGCAACAGCTTTCTGCACTTGTTCAATCACGGACGTGAGTAAGGGTGCAGAAGGTAGATCGACTGCATCAAACAAATTTGAGAATTTGAGAAGAAAAGGTCGGCTGGACAATACACTCTGCCAAAGTTTCCAGGTCTGGAATGAAGAAGCCATGCTATTGTTGAAATAATGCTGCAGCTGCTCCAAACGCCGCAGCAAACGCTTCAAGCGACGGAGAGCAACATTTTCACATCCGGCTCTTGCTGGGCCTTGAGGAGAAAAGCGGGGTTCCTTAACCACATGGGGGACACGACCCCGTCCCACATACCTTTTGGAATGTAAACCAGAAGCTTCAATCAAATACTCTTCGGCAACATTTGAGAAATAATGGTACAAAGAGTTTGAATCGAGAAGTTCAGGAAAAGTGGACTTGTTCACGATACTTTCAGCCAGCTCTATTTGTTCAGGAATGCTCTCAGGTAAACAAGCAGGCTTGCGAATGCGTGGCACAATTTCTGAGAAGGCTGGCAAGTCAAGGTTTAGTGCCAAGGCCAAATGGCCCGGAAAGCCAGAGTCAGGTAAAGCTCTGATAGAAATTAATGCAGATGCAGCAGCATCGGTGGCTAATGCAACATCCAAGCGGCGTGCTTTACCATTCGTGGGAAAAAAGTTGGACCAGTGTTAAAGCCAAGATCAACCAAAATGCCTTTTGCAATTGCATGAGACAACACAGGACTGGCATCCGGTTCTACATTTATATCACCAAGAACAAGCACCGGTGCATCGGGTCCAAGCTGAGTTATGACCTCCAAAACATCTTGAAGTAAGGCTTCATTTAAGTCAGCTACCTTGGAATGACTATAGTGTCCTGTGAAACCGTACAATGAAAAAACATGCAAGGCCTGTTTGCAATTTCCATAGGCAAGGACTGCATGTACCCACCTGCACGAATGATACAATCGTTTACGAATGGGACAGTCACCAGGAGGTACAAACTGCATCGGAATGTGAGAACGGGCTACAATAGCAACACCTCCAGGACGACCATTAAGACCAGTGCTTGTGTGCATCGCGGATTTTGCAAATTTAAAAGGCTGAGGTTTGCCCCACACTGCCTGGTAGCCATGTTTTTTAAGCAACAGACAGAGAAAACCCATGTTGGGATTTGGCTGTATGGCGAGTCTCCTGCAATGCAATCACATCAAACGGAAGAGACACTAATAAATCCTGCTGAGCATGAAAACTAGTGACATTGGCCGTCATAACAGTCCATGTTGGAGAATTGTCCAAAGGTGATTTCTCATGTCGCTGCGACGATGAGCAAAAAGTCAAAGATTCAGTTTGGGACGGTGAGGAAATCACTGCTTCTGGACTAGCTTGCGAAGCTTCCTCCGCGGATGGAGCTATTGCAAAAACAGCATCATAATGGGTCGAACCATTATAAGCAACCCAAATAGGGGGATTAATGCTATGAGCAGGCGAAACTACCTGCACACCATGTGCTTGGGCAATCATAATCTGGGCTTGCAAGAGTTCAGCACAAATTAGAAGGGACAAATTACCACCCCAAGTTCCATTGATGGCTAATTGTTCAATGTAGGATGAGAGAGATTCACCTTCAGAGAAAAAGGAAAGATAATCATCAGAATGCTCTGTCAAAAATTGTACTACAGCACTGCGAAGCTCAAGGTGAGAAAAATCACAGTGCGCAGCAATGGAATGGAATTGGCAATTGCCATCAGCTGGGGATGGAATACGTTTCATATCACAGGCTTGAAGTTTTAGGTCGATGGCAACCCACGGATTCTGTTTACCCTTCAGACGGACACGGCCACCTCCGCGTCCTGCAAAAGGACTCAACAGTTGGTTTTCTGATCTTTGCGTGGACCTCCCTTGTGTGGAGTACCCTGACGAGGATCAGTACGCTTGGTACTCGCGGCAGGCAAGGCAGGGGCTTGCATATTTTGCAGTTGTGACATCACTTGTGAAAAACCGTTGTCAATACGATTCGTCAGTCGTTGCTCAGTGTCAGTGAGACGACCTTCATAGGAGGTCATTCTTGCCTCAAGCTCCGTAAACCTTTTTTCATAGGCAGCAGCAATGGTTGAAAACTCAGGCTGATTACCAGAAGAAGGTTTGGAGCTTCTAGGAGCAGGACCAGGAGCTGCCGCTTGTTTCTGCACGGTTTGTCGGATCTGGCGATTTACTGAGTTCGCATGGTGCGTGACATCCTGAATTAGGACACGACAATTTGAGCCTTCATAAAAACGTTCAGGAGGCGAAACATCAGCAAGCAAATACCAAATAGATTCGCCATCAGCAGTAAAAATCTGTCTTTGAGGTAGGACATGCCATCCACCTTTCCAAGCAACGAAATTTGTGATAATGTCTTGGCGGGTGCAACCACGTGGAAGGCCCAAAGCTTCAAACCGGAGTTTGCCCACAATGCTGCGATTACTATCTGCGAAGCGTGGATCAGTGGCTGCAAACAACTTTCGTGCTGCAGCTACGTCTTTGGCAGCAACTCGGACACCGAGATTACCGTTGGCAAACACTAATCCCAAGTGTGACTCAAAGGAGCGTATCAAGGCAAGAGCATCTGAGTATGTCTTCTTGGCGAGCCACAATACCACGATCTCTTGCGCACGCGCAGCTTTTTCTTCCTGGGTGCGACACATCTTCTGGATAAAAAACGGGCCCAAAATACCCGAGGCCTGTAGAAAAAGCTTTTCATGCTTGGTAGGTGCACGAAATGTCGCTCGGTGTGTTCCATCATCTAACTTGCGCCATGCAAAAAAAGGGCAAGTTTCGGCCGTGAGGCCTGTGTGCAAATTGCGGATTTTGGCAGGAATTTCCTTTCGAGAGGCAGCAATGTATGCAGACCAGTTGTCATCTTCAAATACTTGCTTGGAGATGAAGACCGAAAAATCACAATATGCTTCATTGGACCAATCTTTGTCTCCAGATGGGTCAGCAAAACCAACAGGATTGGCGCCAAGCTGAACCATGGTCACTTTCTTGCGAAAGTACTTTCCAAGCAGAGCGTCTCTCAAGAAAGCATATTTCACATGTATGGCAGAGTCGTTTATTCCAGCAGCGATCAAATCGCTGTTTCTGTCACCGGGTAGCAGAACTGCTAGTGGTGCAGTGCTGCGAACAGCTGAGGCTTCAATGAACATTTGACGAGTCAGCAACACAAGCCCCGTGGCATTTGTTTTGAAATCTTCGGGAGACAGCTGAAGCAAACCCCCTTCAACATATGTGAGATCAATTTCCAGATCTACCCAACGAGCACGCTGAGGTTTCTCAGGTTTTGTGTGCTTTGGTTTTGGTGTGCTTGGTCGTGCTTTGTTTTTCATGTAAGTAGCCCATGCATCATGTTCCATGGCGACTGCAGGGCCGTCACCAGCATTGCATCCACGAGATGCCGGTGTAAGGCATTGAGTGGCGAGCTCGCCATATGAAGAGGCACGTCTCATGACAGCAAAAAAACCGGAGATCGGACCGGAGAGAAACTGAAGCCCAAGACGGACAATGCGGAGATAGAACTGAGAAGACTGATGCTTGCGAAAACGGGCACAATGTTTTCTGGCTTGACGATAGCGGCGACCACCAATGAAGCGAGCAGCAAAAACTCTGCGTGGTTTAGCAGAAGCAAAACTGAAAGGCACAAACAGCCAATCAAAAATAAGACGAGCAAGACACCAGGCAAGAAGTGCCCAAAAAATCCAGAATGACCAACTGTCAAACCAGAAGAGAGAGGGAGAGATTGCCTGACTGTGCAAAAGTCCGCCAAAAACGACTGACTCGGAACTGTAGGACAGAAACACAAGACGGTCGAGAGGCAGTAGCAAAACGAATCTGTGCAAAAGAAAATCCAGCGAGATAGGATCTCGAACACAATTGACATGTCTTGGACAAACAACTGTAAATTGGCTGCGAGTGCAATGGACATACACATCAAAACTGCAAGAAAGTGCAATGGGACAGTGGCCTGAACACAGCTATTCATGGCCTTAATAGACACTCCACCATGGTAACTCGAAAACATGCCAGGAGCCACAGCCTCTGTCCAGGCCTTCCGGGTGCAGTTCACGGTGAACTTGGTCCCGGCAAGTTCATTCTCGAAGGCTCGCAGGGGAGAGGCGGTGTAGTCGATGCTTTTGGCGCTGCCGTAACCTAGCAAAGGGTTGCCGTCAGCGTGAGGGTTGTGGCGGTTGTAGTTCAACGAGCTGATGGGTCACGCTGCTTGCCATGCAAGCGTTTCCGATGTGGCGGTGGTTGATCCGTGTGGTTTTCTGGTTGAGCTTCAGGGCAATCTTTGATCATCCACTTCTTAAGGTATGCTCTGGTGACAGTTTTTGAGCACTGAGAACAGGTGGGAGGGTTCAATTGAGAAATGTAATGCATTCTTTTGGCTCTAGCAGTACGATTATGCTCATCGATCACACGTTGCAATTCAGCTGTGCGAGTTTCAGATAATTTAGCGGCTCTTGTGGTTGAGCCTTTTTTGTCAACCATATCAGTCAAGGCATTGCAGGGGCGCTCTGCAAACGTAATGGCATGATATGTATGTAATTTTTGCTTGCAAAATTTGCACATTGGGTTTTCGGTGTCAATCACGAAATGGCGTTTTTCTGACTCTGCTGTGGAATTCATTTGGTTCAAAGTATCGGCTAATTGATGATGAAATTTTTCAGTGCGCTTTTCTCCTCGTGTGGGAAGCGCCTCACCTGCTTGGACGCGTTGCAAAAATTCCCGAACCTTGATGGCAGCCTCAATATCAGTTTTAAAAGGACCAAAAGAGTGTCTCTTGCCTTGATGAGGCACGATAGCTTTATAGTTGTTGGTCTTCATATTATACTGCACATGCTGATATTGGGAAGCACCCGGTCGTGTGGATGTAGAATATAGCAAACCGTCCGGACTGTGAGTTGGACGTGATTTGGGGATGGTATCAGGCTGATTGGCTTGGCCTTGTTTGTTGTTCGCATTCTGTTCATGCAGAGTGTCAGGCTTACTGGGTCGTAGAAAGGGTGAGGGATCAAAATCATCAGGTGGGTCAGTGGGCGTAGCAATGTTACACGCTTTGATGATTTCAACCATGGTACGTTGCATGTCAAAGGCAAAGGCACACTGTGATGAGACAACAACGGTTCAGTACTACTTCCACAAAGGACTAAACTGTGATTTATCAACATCTGTTGGATCTGTGCAGCCGTTTGAAGGAACAAACCAGTTCTTTGGGTGCACAATGGCAACTGGTTACATTGGCTGAGTTGGTCAGGATTCAAAAATAGGCTTCTTTGCGTGGACCATGTAGGACATCGCCAAAATAAATGGTCGAGAGCTTCAACCTCCTTCCAACAGAAAGGGCAAACTGGATGTGACACTTGGCGTGCAGAGTATCTTTGTTTCTGAGTGAAAATTGCATCACAAAAATAGCTCTGAGAATTCCTTGATCATGATTTTGCAAAAGCTTGGAATTGAGTCATTCCGTGGTTGTCTTCTTATCAATTCCAACCTGAATCCCTTTCAACGTTTTTCTTGAAGCTGCAGCTCGCTTCCACAAAGCACGTGCTATTGCATACCTGATGAGGTGGAGAAAATACTGGTATGGAATAGTCAATAATGGAAAGATTATCACAAACGGCTCAGTCCACTTCAAATCGAGTTGATGACATGCAATGTGAAACATGGAAGCTGGACCAACCATGTTGGTTTTGCCATTCTTATATTGGGAACGAGCTTGAACACTGGCCATCCATACCTTTTCCCACTGGGAACGTAAATGCACATGTTTAGTCAGCTGGCGATAAGCCGTTTTGAAAATTGCATACCATTTCAACTGCATGGGATCGAATAAATGACCTTTTATGGCAAATAGTGAATAAAATGTCATTGCTTTTGTGCGAACTTTTGCTCCACAAAGCTCGACAAACCGTAGATCGGAGCTTCCGTTCTGTTTGAACGGAACAAGGGCCCATTTCCAGAGCATAAGTGTATTTGGGTGCCCCAGCTGTGGCTAGCAAAGTTTCTTTGGCAGCAATGTTTAGAGGACAAATGGCAATTCTTTGGGCAACAGTAAGGTATTTTTTCGCTCTATAGTCCGCCAAATGCCGTGAACGCTTTTTAGAAAAACTGAGACTAGCGCCGTGCAATTTTTCATCGGTTGCCTGAGAGAATTCAAAAATCTTCAACTTCTGTCTTGCTGCATTAGTGGTAGCAAAAACCACAGTTTTGTCAGTGTTGACAACAGCATCAACTGCACAATCAAACTTTTTGGTCACTTCGATGGCTTGCTGGAAATCGTTACATGAAGTGGAGCGCAAGTTTTTGTCATCAATGAAAGCGCTGGCTTTACATCTGAGTGTGAGCTGATGTGTTTTAATTACTTGGATCCACGTGGCTATCATAGCATTAATGCGAATGATAGCTAACGGACATCCCGACATCCCTGACATATAGAATTGGTATTCGAAAATGCTGGTCCTACCGATTTGCCAATTTTGAAACGTCGCATGATAAACTGGTTGTAAGAAAACAGGGCTCGTGATACGTGTCCAGGCATGCCTAAGTCGTGAAGAATTCCAACCTCTATTGGCCATGCGATATTATCAAAACATTTCTGATAATCATAGAGTATCCCAAAAAGGGGGAGTTGTTCAAAATTGGCTTCCTCTATGTCCAGGGCAACCTGGAAATACGAGTCCACAGACTCACGATTGGCAATGCCGCCATGCAATTCGTTTGGAACCCAGGACAAATGCCACGGCTGCAGCTGAGTCCATCGAATTTTAGCCCATATCCTATAAAGGTGAGAGGTCAAAGAAATCGGGCGTATCTGCAATGGAGTATCACCTGTACCTTTTTTTAAGGTTGTCACTGGAACTTCTAACAACTGTGATGGCCATTTTGCAGTGCGTTCAATGCAATGATACAACTGAGCTAACCTGCTGAACGAAGTCAATCCCAAAGCTTTGAGCTCATGCACTTGCCACCCGTCGACACCAGGCGAAGAGGATTTGAGTTTGGATACAACTTCAAAAATGTCGAGCTCCGTGATGTCATTTACTACATAGGCGTTAGTTGCTGAAAATTCACGGTCAGGGGAAAGAGCAGTACGGAATTGCTGGCGAAAGTTAGCATAGCTAGGTGGCTGCTTGTCGGCATATCTGTTAAATATGGGCCCCCATGAATCCAGCATCATCTGATGCAATTCCTTGTGCTTGGTCGCAAATTCATGAGGTCCAGTTTTAAAACATGGTGTCATGAAGGGATCATAGTCTTTGAGCCAAGCGTACGTTTGTTTTGCGAGAACCATTCCAATCCTGTATAAGTCGTTCTTTAAAAGTGGCCAGCCTGCGTTGAGAGACCAACTGCTGTTCATCCAAGAGAGCAGCTTTAACTTGATCGAGAGCATGTGTCGTTTCAACAAGGTCAAACGAGTGCAGCCGATAAGGGACTTTAGACATCAACCTGTGCCAGCTGCTTTTTAAACGCTGTTCGAGAGAAATCAACTGATGGTGAGCCAAAGATCCTAAGTGGGGCATATGTGAAATTTTTACCAAGCTGTTTTATGCGTCTCTGCAACTTTAACAGAGCTGACATCCGGTGTGTAGCCGCACCTGTTTCGGGATGGGCTATAGCGGCTTCTACTGGTTGCTGGATAACTTTGGGCACAGAACCCCTACCAATTTGTTTTCGCGACACAATATGACCTTGATTGACTGACAATTGAATGAGAACTTGTTCGGCTGTGCTGGACCAAATTTGAAAAGCGAGATCAACATTATCACTGGTGATGGCAGCATCAAACTCATGCTCAACCTTTTTCCACAAGGGTACTTCGATTCGTAATCTGTCAACGGGTGTAATGTTTGGCAAAGAAATCTGAACCGATGAAGAGCATTTATACACATATTGTGTATCGAGATGCTTAGAGAAATCAAGCTGAATCTGCAAAGGGCAATGCGCTGGTAAACTTGTATCCCGATGGATTTTCATATTGACCACGTGCGAGAGCATAGCGTGATTGCAAATAGCAAGGCCAATGCGAGTTCTGATGGTGGTATCTTGACCTTTCTGATACGTCCAGCCATCATCAAAGATCGCACCTATGTCAAAGATAGCCTGTGACCCGCACAAGGAGCCGAGAACTGGTGAGAGATCGGGAGTTGTGTTGAGATCTCCTACCAGGATCCATGGGATGTCTCCCAAACTAAAAGCATTTTCAAAAATGGCTGTAAGTAGCTGCTCATTCAAACGAAAAGCTTCCAGTCAGCCCATCCTGAAAGAACATGCAGTGCTGAAGGATTTGCAGGTCGGTGGACCACCTTCTCATCAAATGCAAGGACCCATGCTAAAAGCTCGAGCAGGTCCGAGGGAGCGTGTCGGCCTGCTCTCGTGCCCCTGATGACAACTGCTGCCACCCAGGGGTTGCTCCTTGCTCGACTTCGTGACCAAAAACAAAATTGTTGCCGCCTGGTCAAGAACACAAGCGGACCACCAGCAAAACAGCATTCGCTGACATCTTCTGGTTGTGAAAACTACACGGGGCATTCCAGGCACGAAAAACGAATCGTGACAGCCATCTGTGCACAGAGCAATCTTTGAAAACTGATCTGACGAAGTCAAGGTGGAAAAAAAACGACTTCTGTAGGTCACAGCAAAACCAAAACTGCTCTCTGCGCCATCACCACAGCATTTTTCCGTTGCAGGCAAACTGGAGCTGCACAAAAGTGAGGGATTCATCTGGATGTCTCGTTACTGCAAATCCAGACCACTGCACACTGCAAAAAGCAAGCTCAAAAAGCTGTACACACAAAATCTCACCGGTGAAAGGTTTCTCACTTTGCCATCGGCTGCAGACGCTTCAAGTCATCCCACAGGCTCTGACGAAGACCAACAGGACCCTTGCGCATCCCTTCCACCTTCAGCAAGTCACTCTTGTTGGACTGGAGGTACGACATGATCTTTCCAAGGGCAAGACGAAAGGAATCTGGAGCCACAGAGGAGATGGTCAACTCGAAAACCCAAGGGCGGCCAGCCTTTGGAGTTGAGTACCTAGGCCCAAACGACCCGAGAGCCAACTTCATGTCTGTCTCCAAGTTCATCGCAGAGAAGTACTGCACAGAGTCATTGACCTCCTTAGCAAATGGGAGAGCCGCAATCTGTTCCATCATGGCAGCAAACAAAAAGCACCGGCGCTCACCCAACGGGTGAGGAACCCACTGCCCAGGCGTGGGCTGCGGCGGCAGCAATTGGTCCCACAGTTGGATAGCTTCCACCAACTTCTGCTGCATTGGCTCATGGGAAACCACGAAGACAGTCACCGCACCTTGCTGGACATGGTCAAGCGCAGTCGCCTGATGCAAGGAAAAACGCAAAAGCTTGGTCAGGACAGCATCTTCAGAGTCAGCAGGAACTGCACGGCCACCAGCAAACTTCTTGGCACGGTGCTCATGCGTGCCAGCAGCCCCACTCTGCTTGAGTTCCTCAGCTTTGGCCCTCAGCTCAGAAAGTGTCGGCATGGCTTCCAAGCAACAACGGAGCTGAGGTCGTGGAGCAACAAAACTGCTGTCAAAGGTCATGAAACTCATGCGTGTGGAGTGAAAACCCTTCTACAGTCCGACGTTTCCCACACGTGACTGAGTGTCTGCCAGCAGCTTTTGGGGTGGCAAAACCAATGTAACAGTGGGGGCACTTATAGTTGGACTCACGAAAGTCATGTTGGCAAACTCGAACACGACGCAACCATTCCTTGTAGGGCATTTTGGGACATGCTAAAGAGTGATGGCAACACTTGGCAGTCGAAGGGAACTTCACCAAACAGAACAAGCACGTCTGGTTATCCAGGTGAGAAGGAGGTTGTGGAGCCGGGAGATCTGTCAAGGACATCTGCCGATGGGGAAACCGTTGTTGGTAAGCCTCCCGAACTTTCTGTGGGTCCCAGTCATCATTCCTCCGAGACTTCCGCGCCTTTGGCTTGGCGGCTGGAACTGCAGGAGCATCATGAGGTTCAGCCGCCGCAGCCACTGGTACTGGAGCAACTTCAGTAGGAACCACAGGGGCAGCAGGAGCTGCTATAGCATGGTCCAAGGCACGCTGACGTTGAGCAGCCTGCCGAGCGCGAACTGCGGAAGACAAAAGTTTGCACAGTTCAACATGTTTCCGCAAAGACTTCAAGTACATGGTAACCGGAGGATCACAGCAATGAGGACAAATGTATTTGCCAGTGCCAGTAGGTCGAGCACCAATGGAGTCAAAAACACGTTGTTCTGCAGTTTCCCGTCGAGCTGTAGTTGCAGCTGCAGAATGTTTCTCCACCCATGTTTGCTGAGTTTCCAAGTCACGCTGTTTCTTTCTCCACGTAGCAACAATCGTAGACCAAACTGCTCCACCATCTTCACCAGCAATACGAACCCACTCATGCTCCCAGTTGGCCACACCACTGGCCTCCATTGCTGATTTGAGAAGCTGCCAGAAGTGCCTCCGTGTCGAAGGTGCCTGTTTGGAGGCCGGCAGGCCCGATTCCGAAGGAAGCCACCTAAACAGCAAAGCCCTTTCCAACCTTGCTGCTGGAAGGCGGGCAACATGCCCTAGGTACCTGAGTTGGCCAACACCAATGTAAACATGAATGGAGTCAAGGTTTGCCTCGCGGCGCACGTCGGCCATTGTCATACTGCCCTCCATGTCCCGGAGTCGACGGCCCGTCAACCCTCGGGCTATAGCGTTGAGGAAGACCTGCCACTTGCGAATTGTCACAGCTGAAACCACACGAGACTCTGTAGAATATAATAAATTGCGAATCACTGTTGCATGCACCACCCGACCCTTCTGCTTTGCTGTCAAACTAAAACGTGGAAATTGCTTGTATAGCGAACGCCAAATTGCTCTGGCTGCCTCCAAACGTTTACAGTCCTCTGTAGCATAGCCAGCATTGTCCTGCAACCAAGAACCAAGAAGTTTTGCAGCCTCCACACAAGGGCGGTCGGTGGAACGACCGGCAACTCCAACCATCAGCCGCTTCGTCTTCTGGGGCTTGATGGTCTCTTTCCAGTCAGCCAAGGTAGCACATAAGAGATCTTCCAGTTCCTGGTAGTTGTTGCCACGAGCCAGCAAGGTAGTGTCGTCTGCAAAGCTAAGTAGCGAAAGTTGCTTGGTAAGAACACAGTCACCCTTCCTTTGTTGCTTATGCATGCGCAGGTTGAACGGCTTGTCATGTATACACTGGAGTTGTAGAGACTCATGGCGACGCTTGTTGAAATCACGCAGAGGCCAAGTATGATACAAGTTGTATAATACCGGTGAGGTGCAACATCCCTCCCTGAAGCCAGTCAATTGTTGATACGTGTCACTCAAGCCTTGACGAGCACGACATCGGTAGGTCGTCATGTCATGCAACCCTTGCAAAAGTCGAATGACATTGTCTGGCATGCCCAAACGAGAGAAGACCAACCACGCCGAGGACCGTTGAACTCGGGTATAGGCTTTGGTAATATCAACGAAGACGAGGACCAGAAGCTGTTCCAAGGGATGAGTAACACCCATCGGGACCTCCGATGCCATTTCAACGAGCAGACGTGCCGCAAACAAGCAATCCTGCGTAGACCTGTGCTTCCGAAAACCAAACTGCTCCTCTGGGAAAAAACCGCGCTGTTCTGCCCATTGCGAAATACGAGTAGCAAGAATCCGAGCCAGCACGCGACTGACAGCACTGAGAAGTACGACAAAACGATGATTGTCCAAGTCAGAGCGATCACCTGTACCCTTGTATAAAGCAACTGCGACACCTTCCATAGCAAGTTTATCCCAGGTTGTCGGATCTGTAGACCACATTTGATGGAGAAGAAGGCGAAGCTGCCACCTTGCACGAGAACCTGCAAATTTCAACATATGGACTGTGACTTCATCCAAGCCCGGAGAGCTCTCCCGAAGTGTACACAAGGCCTCCGAAATTTCCTGGTCATTCGGGGGCACACCCAAGTGGTGCGCCGTAGGATACTCCGGGACCACACTGGCGATCAGGTCTGGGTTCACCGGATCAACTGTCCCTGCAGATTTCTGAGCTTGAGTTCGCAGAGCATCCAAGGAAAAGGATTGCAGGCCTTCACGAGAGTAATCTGAAACCGAAATTCCAATCTGCTTCAACGTTCTGTAAAAAAGACTAACATCGTGACAATCCAAGCTGCTATGGAGAACTTCAAGAACTTGTTCCATCCACCGTTTTCGACAACCTGCCTTGAAAACTGCGCGAGCACGCTTTGCCTTCCTGAAGAGCTCATTGCTTGCTGCACGGGAAACCATGTCAAGCGAGAGACGCACATTGTCAAAAGCCCGCATGACCGCCTGGTCATGCATGTCCAAGCTGCGCAGATCGTCTTTTGTATACGGACTCCACAAGCCACGGTGCACTGTGCGACCAAAAGTAGATTCTGCTGCAACAACCAAGGTATTAGCCAAATCTGTCCACGTCACATCGGGTTCTGGAACCTGAGGAAGTTCAGGCACAGGAACCAGGGGCTGTTTCCCAACCAGACGTCGCCGAGGGGCCGACGACGCAAGATCCTGAAAAGGAGTGTAGCAACCCAAACGTCCATCATTTGCCAACTTGTCAGCACGCTCATTGCCTTGATTGCCAGTATGACCTTTGATCCAAGTCCATTTCACACAACGAAGAGCTTGAAGCTTCTGCAAGGTGGCCTTCAAGCGCTTGGCCAAAACAGTGTTTCGAGTGACTCGCCAGCGACCAAGCGACACATTCATGGCATACTCACTGTCATAATGCACGTGTACAACATCGAAATGTTCAATGTTGCGCAAACACCACTCGAAGAGAAAAAGCATGGCACTAGCTTCTGCTGTGTTGTTAGTGGCACGCTCTGCTCCACGAAAGTCACGCTGCGAAGACTGTAAACTGACCGGACAACAAGCTTCAAACACCTTATCACGAGTCCAAACTGCTGCACCCCAGCCTGCAGTGGCTGGCGTCACAACCTGGCCATGAGCAATCTCAGCTAACTGCCCAGAGCCATCTGTGTACGCATGCCAAACACGGGGATGAGACTCCTCCCAGCCCTCAAGCACACCATCAAACGCCCGTTGTTCTGGAGCATCTGGAGCTGGAGACACGTCAAAATTGTCAAGCAACTTGTCCACCAAGGCACTATACTGCTGTCGACAAGCAACAGCCGAGGCACTGGGCCCCCGAAAAGCAGCCATGTTCAACTGAGGTTGCAAGGTGGTGCGCTGAAAATTCCTACGCTGCCAGAGACGACGCCTCGCCATGCGCTGTTGCCGCTTCACCAAGTTGCCCACATGCACAAAACAAGTCTTGGCAAGGTGGTCAGAAACGCCTGGAAACGTTCCCATGTGTGTACCAACCAGGTGGGCATGACTGCGAGAAATCAAGAAAACATCCAGTTCATAGAACTCATGTGTGAGGTTATGCTTCCAGGTGCCACGAGCATTGCAATCATGAAAGGAGTCCACGTGACAAAGTTGTGTCCCACGAAGAAATTCTTTGAGAATCCGGCCACCAGCTGTGGTAGAAGGAGATGTCAAGCCATGAGAACCCAACACTTCCGGTTCCGCCTCACCCGCAGCGACATGTCCATTGAAATCACCCGACCAGATCTGAAAAGACGACACATCCAAGCACTGCAAATGGAGCTTCTGAGCTTCTTGGTAGTGCTGCCGTTTTTCACTGGCCGATTGCCCTGCAGGAGTGTAGTTCGCAGTGAAATGCACATACTCACCATGAATCGAAAAGCCCAACGACAAAAGCCTGTCACTGTTCACATGCAAGAAGGGTCTGCCCGACTGTTCCCAAGCCATAGCTACTGATGCCCTCAAGGCAAAGCCAACACGCCCACGCAACACAAAGCAAAACTCTTCAATCCAGACCGCCTGAAGTGCTTCCGGAGGGAAAAAATGCAAGTCCGACAAAAAGGCCATATCGACATCATGCTTGCGGAGAACACCGATAAGCTGCTGCAACTTCGGCCGGTGAGAAAGCTTGCTCCAAAAGAAACCTTGCAAATTCATCGTGCAGAGCTTCAACCCATGTGAAGGTCTAAGGGAAAAACATCGACGGTGAAGGCGCCGATGACGAAGCCGAGCTCGGCCACAAGGAGTCTTTGAATCAACACTATGATTGGTCACAAAGGGAAGGCCTTGTGGTCTAGCATGAACACTAACATCCGTGCGGTCTGGGTAAACTTTTCCTGCACCCGTAGATGCAGCGGACTCACCACTCACCCAGCGAAACAGGTGGTGAACCCGAGAAATTGTCGTGACTTGTCGGACCTTAGTAACTGCCTGTGTCACCACAAGCTAAGACTCCGAATCCCTTCCCGGCTTGCCGAAGCTGGAGCCCCACGACGAGGAAGTGAAAGAACATGCCAATGATAGCCATCATCGCAAGGCGTAGTGGACGTGGGTCTTCGCCCGTCGCGGGCATCACGTCACATACTCCTGTTAAGGCAAGAAAAGGTCAGCACAGTCAAGCTATGCATTTGCGTAGTTAACGCCACTAATATTGTGTCGTGTCTAGTGCTCTATCACAGTGTGTGATTTCATCCAACACCTCCGGCATGCACATACGAAGTGAGCCAACACACTGTGATGGGCCCCATGACCAATCGAAACCTGTGGGTTCCTGCAGCCAAACCGGAACCCAGAGGGGAGAAAGGAAAGGGACCAAGATAGAAAAACAAACCAGCAGAGCGATGTAGGGGAAATGGGGGGGGAAAGATGCACAGATACCCATACACATTGAAGGTCGCATCGAGGGACGGCCCCCTCGTTGACACCCCAGGGGACGGCCCCCCTGGGTACATAGGATGGAGGACGGCCCCTCCATCCACAGGGTTGAAATAAAGATACATTGAAGGGGGATGCACAAAAGCAGATTGGAACCCGTAAAAAACACCAGAAACTAGGAAAACGTAACATCAGCGGAGAAACCGCAGTGCTTCAGCGTCTCGGGCGGGAGGCGGTTTGGCCGCTGGTGGGGCGGTTCGCGTTTGGGTGAGCGGCGCTTACCTTTTGACCGACCTTTGGCTCAATCCCCAGTAACTCCATGCATTTGACGCGCAGGGCGAATACCGACTGGTTTAGTTCGACCGAGACAGGTAAGCAACGGGGAGAGGAGATTTTCGCGGACTCTGTCACCAATTTCCGAGTTTTTGAACAGCAAGACAAGTGGCCATACAGAGTCGTCCCCTTCCGGGGGATCTTTGTGTGTGCAATTATCGATGGACGCACGCAGGATTTTGATTTCTTGGAGAATACCTTGCACAGTTTCATGCATAGACTGAGCCATGCCAGCTGTTCATGCACAGTTTCATCCACTGCCCCACTTGGTGTCGCCACGGTGGCGGTTTCTCTGTGGGCCGCTGCTCTGGGGGGAGTTGTGCATTGGTTTGCCACACCTTCCACTTTTCGGCCAGCTCTGCCTTTGGTTCATCGCGCAGGAAGACCACAACGCTTCGCTTGGCATTGTCGACCCCGTACCTATGGCTAGTTTGCAGACCGAGGCGAGCAGCAGACTCAGCCAGCTGCCCAACCCGATCGATTTCTTTTGCCAGCTTTTCGACATCTTCTTGTTTAGCCGAAGGCATGTGCTTCAGTTCTTTTCACTATCTGTATACGTGCTTTCTGAGCCGATGCAAAATGTATTGGTGTGATGACTTGCTGACGAAGGATTCTGGTGGAACACAATGGGGGCATGATAGTGGAAAAGAAAGTTGGTAAGCAGAGTGGGCATGATTGATATGCATACGTACGCTATCCCTACCTGGGAAAACAGCAAGACATTCACAACATGTAAAAGAGACAGCATCTGGTTCATGAAGTGGAAGGTGTTTAGTGAGTCCGGATTCTAGTTCAAATGTTCGGGGGCAGAACGGACAATCCCAAGTACGATCCCGGTAGGTTCCCTCACGGTGAGAAAATAGTAGGTGCTTAGATAGTCCAGCCTTATTGGGGAATTTACGACCGCATCCTTCAAAAGGGCATTCATGATCTCCTTCCTGTGCTCCCTGTATCGGGCCGCGGTGCCAGTATTTTTCGACTCAGCCGCAGGCTCCGTGGCCGGGTCGGAGTGAAAATACGCTGGGGGGCGCTCACTTTTAGCATACAGACGAGTTTTCTTCGGTACAGGGGGCAACGGCGACCTTTCCATGGGGTGAACAGCTAGAACTTCTCTTTTCAGGAGAACTGCTTGTGCAGTAATTACTGACATTTGAAACAGGTTAGCGTCCGACAGATCTACTAACATTTGTTCCCACTCACTGCAGTGCTCGAGAATCGTAGCTGCCACTTCCTCTGCATCCAGGCGCAGCCAATCCGGTCCCATTAAGGTTTCCGCTTTAATTGCAATTTCATCCCAGAAAGGTTTTGGCAACTGATGTTCTAAACGCAAAAAGCTTGTTTCCCTAGGTACCTCGCTTTCAAACAGCGCGTGCGCGGCTTCGAGTTCACCCCGCCACCCTTTGCGAACCGTAGGTAGCGGAGCGCGCAGTATAGCCGCAAGTTCATGACTTCTATCCGGGGGTGGTATATGTCCTTTTGGAGGCAGGGGGAGAACCAAACTGCAAGTTCCCGCGTTTTGCGTTTCCAATCCTCTCCTGCATTTTGTTGAGCGAATTGCAACCATCCCGTAAGGGGGACGTTCATTTGTTGGATACCGTTGGCAAAAGCGTCGCGAAGAAATTTTCCTCGTTGTCTGCCTACTGCTCTAGCGGTACCTATTCCTTCTGGTAAAAACGAGAACAGGGCTTGTTTAGGCATCCTATCGTTGTCCATGCGAGCTACATGACCAAGCCAGCGCATGCGGTTTTGTTGAATCAGATCTTCTATTTGCGGGACACCCAAAAAGGAGATTAAGCGGGTATTGGGGATGTTATGGGTTTGTTGCATCCAGCGGGTGATACCACTAATGACGCGGAGGCACATAAAGTGGAACACATTTAACTTTCTACGCATGGCGAAGTTCACCGTCCAGGTTTCACTACCGTACAACAGGACCGAGAGGACACACGATCTGTAGACCTGAATTTTGGTGTGCAAAGACAAAGGGGAGACATACCACACCGTATTCGCGAGTTTCCAAAAAGCTTTGCGGGCTTGATCCAGTCTGTGAGTAATGTCAGCTTCGCAAGTTAGTTGCCAATCTACGTGACAGCCTAGATATTTAAAGGCATCAGTAAATTTCACCAACGGTTGACCCTCTGCATCTGCCGTAAGATACCCAGTGTGCTGGATTAAGGTAACCATTGCTTCTGTTTTGGCTGTGGATATGGTCATACCCCATTTTTGCATATGGGAGCTAAGTTTGGTATAGATAGTTTGTAGCTTAGACAGGGTATCCGCTGCTAACGCTAAGTCATCTGCAAACCCTAATTCCTGAAAGGTCCATGGAGTGTGTGTAGCATACTTATCAAGGTTAGCCTGTCGTCTTAAAATACCATCCACCCTCGTATACCACGTGAGGCGATCCGGATATGCCATAGCCCATGACTCCATAACTGCCCCGAAGTAGATGGAAAACAGTAACGGTGCCAGACAACATCCTTGACCCAGGCCGGTATGTAGTTCAAAGTCAGAGGATAAAATACCTTCGGTGGATACACAAGCAAGCTTGTCAGAGTAGTAAAGCTTAATGAGGTCCAACAAGTCCTCCGGAACCCCTTTAGATTTTAATACCTTCCAGAGGCCTGCTCTAGCAACTGAATCGTAGGCTTTAACTAAGTCGATAAACAGCAAGTACATAGGGAGACGTTTATGTAATGCAGTTTCAAGGATCATGCGAAGGGCAAAGACCATATCAATGGTGCTACGACCATTTCGAAAACCACACTGCCATTCCGGTAACAACTGGGAGGTTTCAGCATAACAGTAGAGTCGAGCTGCGATGATACGGGCAAAGATTTTACCCGGGACTGAAAGCAAGGTAATGCCTCGCCAATTACCACAGTCAGTTAAATCCCCTTTTTTAGGGAGCGGTACGATGTAACCTGCCTTCCACTCTACTGGCATGGGCATTACTCGCGTCCACACTCGTAGGACATGATCATGGAACACACGTAAATTTGGCAACGTGAGCAAGTGGAGAAGTTCGGCATTTAGGCCGTCGGGGCCCGGGGCTTTATTCTTTTTCATACGTTTCACTGCAGCGATGGTTTCTATGAATGTTGGCGGATTAGCAAGGTCTTCCTGAAAAGGCCTACGGTTCAGGACTGCTACATGATCTATGGACGCCGTAGTTGGTACATTTAACAGTTCATTAAAATAGTTTTGCCATCGGTCGACTCTTGCAGCTTTGGTGTGCAAAAACTGTCCATTGGAATCACGGAGTTTAGGAATGGGTCTGCGGCCTGCATTGAGTGTAGTGCGTAGCTCTCTAAATCCAGCGTATTGGTGTTGAGGCTGCCGATTGTCCACCTGTGCCTGAATTTCTTTAGCCTTACTTTGCCACCATGCATTAAGAATATCGGAAACCTGTCGTTTGGCGGCTTTGCATGCACTCCGGTAGATAGACTTGTCACCAGTTTCTTTGAATCTTTGAAAAGCTGCTTTTTTGGTATTGCTAATTGCTTCAAGTTGCGGTTGACATTCTTGCTCCCATACGGGAAGACCAGTTTGACATCGAATACCCAAAAATTTTTCACCTACACGTCTAAGAGCATGTCCCCAATTAGAATAGTCATCCAAAAGATCTTTTGCAAGTAAATCGGTCATCAAGGTATTAAACTGCTGCGGTGTGTCAGATTGCATTGCGTTGGCGGTGTTCAGATGGGGGAGTTTAACACGTGTTGACATTACTGCGGGTTTCCCAGGACCCCGAAACCCTTTGAAAACCAACGGAGGGAAGCGCAACTTGACTTTCACTAGTCTGTGATCCGTGTCGAAATGGATTCCTGGTTTGGTTGCAACATCCATAACATATTGAG